AAAATTTGATTGTAAAAACTACCATTACTTGAAGAAATCTATTATATTATGCAAACCATTCAGGGTCATTGTGATTGCTATAGACAATAAGTACTTAAAAATTATAATTAATAAAAAAAAATATTGACAATTGTTTGAATAAAGCAATACAACAAAATGCCAAGAATAATATTAAGAAAATATTGATTTAAGTAAAAACTATATTTCAAGCTTGTTTTTATAACCTAAAATTCCCTTTAACATTACTCTTAGAATTCCCGGAAAATATTCAAAAAAAAAAAAAAAACTAATTTTACAAACGAACCTTGAACGTATTTTTTAATTTTAACAAATAAGAACTGCGTAAAATTAATTATTTTTACACTCGTTAAAAATTTTCAACAGGGATTTCATAATGGCGCGTTTTTGCTACTAAATTACCATAATAATTGTTTAAGTCAAAAAAATTTCGGGTGCAAAAATGAATGCGGAAACTTTTCCATAGAGTAAAAAAAATTTTTAAAATTTGAATTCTTCATTTCAGGTCACATCTTAAAATTTTCAGTTAATCAATATACGTTAATAACCCTATTAAATGTTGAAAATTATTTATATAATTCTGGTAATATTTAATTTAAAAAAAAAAAAAATTGCGTACAAACATTAGTGTTTAAAAAGCCCTTATTTTCTGCATAGTGGTTTGACACAAATTTCTCTTACGACGAGTTAAAGAGGTTTATTGACCTATATTGCAACAATATACCGGTTATAATATGGACCCAAATTAAAAAAAAAAAAAATTATAAAACTATTATTTAAAATAACTTCAAGTTTCATAAAAACAAAAAAAAAAAAAGTGTCATCCGACTATCTAAATAAATAAATAATCCAAGAAGTGAACAAGGACATCGATAGTACACACAAATGAACATGACGTCATTGACTTTTCTGCTTTCCTTTCTGGAAAAACCTAAAATTTACAATCGCTATAGTATTTTGGCCTTCGGAAATATTGATTTTCTTTTTATATACCATCAAAATGTTTACATGCGATTATTTAAAAAAAAAAAAAAAACAATTATTTAATTATTGCATTTTCATCGTAAATCAATTTCATCATTTAGAAAACTAAAATTTCGATTTGATATTTTTTTTTTTTTTTGGCTAATGAGAATTTGATTTAAAAATTAATTTGTCTGTATCATCTGTTAAAAAAAAATAATAAAAATAATTTTTTTTTAAATAAAGAAAAAATGAATTTTTAATTAATTAAAGTATAAATGTAATACTACGTGTAACAACTAACAAATGATGAATGACATTACACAATAAGTTTTTTTTTTTTGAAGAGTAAAATCCTAAATAAAATAACGTCTTTGAAACTAATTCAAATTATTCATTTTATTTAATAATAATAATAATAATAATAATAATAATAATTGTTCTTTGTATGAAAGATAAAACGTTGTTTCAAAGTTGGGGAGAGAGGGGGTAGGGGGAGGAGAACAATTAACAACAACGTTAAATCCGCTTTCAAGGGAAAGCCAAACTATTGAATCAAACGCTCTTCATCAGTATTTAAGGTCCGCTTGTTGATGGCGGTACTAGAAATTATAGGTACGTTAAATACTAATTTTTTTTTTTTTTTTAGTGATAATTTTTTGACTGTGCAAAATTTTTACTGTTAAGACATGTAAGTTTTAAATCATACAAAAAAGTGTACACATTTTTTTCTTTTTTTTTTTTCATAAAAACATTATAAGTATGATTGATTGTAAAATATTTTAAGTTTATCAACCAGTTTTTATTTTATTGATTGAAAGTGAAAAATTAATTAATAAAAAATATTTTTTTGAAAAAAAATTTATTTTAAAAAGACATTTGATATCAAACTTTGATTTTATTATTTTTTTTTGGGGGGTAAAAATTATTATGTTTAAGATAAACATTTTTTTATAAATCAAAATTATTAAAATTTATCTTAAAATATTCCATTTGTATTCAAGGACTACAAAATTGTTTTATAATTTAACATGTTTAAAACAAACATCTTATTATTAAAAAAAAAAAAAATTAAAATTTTAGTCATCTACCATTAAGTTTTTTTATCCGATTTATGTAAGCCTATATATATATATATATATTCTTTGGAGGAGAATGATGACTTGGAAAATAATTGAATAAGTATATTGGCGTTAAGAAAAAGTTGTACTTTATATTGTATATAAAAGAAAAAGTTAAAAAAGAAAAAAAAAATTAACACCCACTTGACTATTCATTGAATGAATCAAAAGAAAGTGAAAGTTTATGGTTTTTTAGTTCATCACAGATAGACTTTTATAGACATTAGAAATTCCACCTATGACTTTTTTTTTTTTTTTTTTATTTTGTAATAATAAAATTTGTGTGCTGTAATTCAGTTTTCCTTTTTCAAAAAAAAAAAAAAAAGTTATAATTATTTTTTATTAATTTAAATCTAATTGATTTACCTTTTCATGTCCATTTCATGCCTTATTTTTGTATGTTGAGAATAACTAGAAAGTAGGTATTGAAATTTTTTTTTCTTTTTCTAAAGGAAACTTCATTTTAAATTAAATTTAGTTTTAAATTTCAAATTCAACTTTTCATTTTTAACTAAAACAAAAATTATAACATAAATAATTTTAATTTAAAACTAATTTGATGATGAATAAGAAAAAAAACCTAAAATAAATTTAGAATGCATAATAAGGAAGTTCTAGATATTTCTGTTAAAAATGGCGCGCGAAAAAGTATTCATTACCTGCAGTTGACAGAATTAAAAATTAATACAATGGATGAAAATAGTAATTTTAAAATTACAGCACATGAATCAAATTTTGTCAAATGCCCTTTAATACCATAGAATTTTGATTGAAAAAATTTTAAAATGAAAACTTTTATTATTTTTCAGAATCAAAATGAATATTTTTTTGTGGGTTCTACTACCGACATGCATATTGTCACAGTGTATAACAGAAAATGACAAACTTATTTTTGATCCAAATGCAAAATTATCTTTTTACAAGGTAATGTTTTTACAATACCATACATAACATCAATAATTTCTAATTAAATAAACAATTAAAATGTATCCTATAAAAAATCTTGAAGCTTAAATAATCCTTAATGAAACCTTAAAATTAAAGAAAAATTAAAAACACTCAAACCTAAATAAATATTAAAATGGAAAATGTTTTTGCTTTTTAGGGTCAGCAAAAGTTTAGCGTGAAGTTGCTTAAAACGTTTAACGACAAACATAAAGAAGAAAACATTTTCTTTTCCCCATACAGCATATATCAAAGTTTAATATTGGCATACATAACTGCTGGAAATAAAACAGAAGAAGTTCTTAAAGAAGCATTATATTTGCCTGAAAAACAGGTTAGTTTTTCACACTTTTTCAATTTTCAAACTGCACAAGTTTATAAAAAACTGTAACTGATATTAACCAAACATTTATTTACAGAATAAACTTTCAGTTATTCAAACTTATGATTTAGAAAAATACTTTGAAACGACAAGACAGTTAAATGGATCCTTAGATTATGAATTAAACAGTTTTAACAAAATTTTTTTGTCTAATGAAATAGAAGCAAGGGAATGTATTTCAAATATATTAAAAGATGATTTGGAGTCGATAAACTTTAAAAATGATCCTAATGCAGCTAGATTTTATATAAATGACTTGGTTAAAAATGTCACTAAAAATCACATATCAGAACTTTTACCAACTGATGGAGTTCACGAAGAAACTAAAATAATTTTGGTTAGTTTAAAACATTGTGATTAATAAACAATTAAATCCCTTTTGAATAACTTTATTAATAATCTGTAATAAAAAAATATTTGTATATTTTATTAATAGGCAAACGCAGCTTATTTTAAAGGCTTATGGAAATCTAAATTTTTTGAAGGAAACACAAAGAAAAATTCATTGTTTTATGTATCCCCAGAAGATATTAAAATAGTGGATCTTATGACTCAGAAAGGAAATTTTAATCATAGTAAGTAAATTTTATTACTTTTAGGGTAGAGTGCGAATAATAAAAAAATGGCGCTCGAATAGTATATTAATAACTTTAGCTTCAAGGTAAATTTCTATTCTTAATCTTATATCTACAAATATATATGAAAAAAACCAAAAAGAAATTTATTTTTAAAACGATATGATTAATGTTTTAGTGACATCTGAAAAACTAAAATCACATATTTTGGAACTACCATATAAAGGAGATAGTGTGAGCATGATAATTATTTTACCTCGTTTTGAAAGTAACGCAATTGATAAATTGATTGATATACTCGCCGAAGAATCTATTGAAAGTTTAATCGATTTTGACGCTCTTTATCCAAGGCAAGTTGAAGTAGAAATACCTAAATTTTCTGTTGAAAATTCAATAGATTTGAGGCCTGTATTTACCGTATTGGGTCTCTCTGAAATTTTTTCACCGGAAGCTGATTTTTCCACACTATCTGAAAAAACAAAATCGGTACATTTTACCGATGCCATTCACAAAGCTAAAATAGAAGTGGACGAAGAAGGAACCGTTGCTGCTGCCGCCACGGCAATTTTTACATTTAGATCATCCCGTCCATTGGATCCAACGCGTTTTATCGCGAATCATCCTTTCGTATATTTTATTTACGATAAAATATCTCAAAATATATTATTTATGGGAGTTTATAAAGTTCCGGAAAAAAAATATCGAAACGGTAAAAAAATTAAATTGTAATTAATTAGATAAATGTACTTGTAAACAATCATTATTATTTTATTTATATAATCATTATCACCGATATTATAAGGAATTTATAATATTTGAAAATGCATTGGCCTTAAAATATAGTATTAACTCACATACAAACACACACATGCACTCTTTCTGCAGGAAACAAAAGAAAAAGTTGTATTTTAAGTATTAAAAAAGTTATTAACTTTTTAAAATAAAAAAATATTTTTTTTTTATCAAAAATTTATGACAAAAATGAAATTATAACAAATGTATTTATTAAAATTCAATTATGTAAGATCTGATTGTACTTAAAAAAAAAATATATATGTATATCATTATTACTACTACTATTAAAAATTTAAAACAAAATTTTTAATGTCATTGTTATATTTTTAAATAAAATTATTTTTTATTTATAATTTTTGTAAATAATTTTTTTAAAATTTTTTTCCTCACGAAGAAAAATTAACTTCACCTTAACATATAACCAAAATTTATAATAAACATCGTAAAAAAATTTAAAGAAGAAAAAAAATTAAGAAGTGTAAATTTGTTTTATTTAATGAACGAATAAAATTTAAAATCCATGCTCACGGAAACTTTTGCAATAATTTTTAAATAATTTTTCTTGCGATATTTATAAATATATATTTATATATAAATACTTTTAAATATATAATATTATAATAAAATTTTACTCATTTAATATATTTATTATTAAATTTCACTAACAGCCTCACAGCTCGATGACCAACAATTAAAAAAGCACAAATAGTTTTATTTATATGTGATTTAACTTGACTATTTTGGTGTTTTAAAAAAAACCAATTATTTTCATTCTCAAAAAGCCTTATTTTTTTTCTTAAACTATAACATTATACTTACAAAAAATAATTTTTAATTAAGCACACCAGTTTCAATTGCTTCCCTTTCAAGTTCGGCTACCCGTCTTCTCAATCTCTTTGCCTGCTTAATCAATTCTAATTCTTGTGTTTTTATATTAGCCATTGATTCAAAAGCTGAATTTTGCGATGAAAAATCAAAAATCCAACGAAAAAATAACTCTGACCATAATCCCTACAACAATACGCCATAAGTGAAATTTAAAAAATAATTATTGTTTTAAATTTTATCAACAAACTTATTAATAAGTTCTTACATACCAAACTAACTGGTGCCACAGATGGCCAAATCACAGAATTGTTAGGTTCGTACATCAAATTTAAATAGGACCTAAGAATTTCAGGTTGGTTTAGGTACGACCACAAGCTTGTAGTTTGTTCGCGTAGTTTTAAATGTTCTCGATCCGCCTCACAATTTCCTAGGAATGTACCTGTTATGAAAATATTTTAAAGTATTTATTTTTTTGAAGTTGAAAATAATCGAAAACAAATGACTTACCAAATTGAGAAGAATAACTATGCTCGAATAATGAAATTAAAAAATTTTGGTTGAATTCAAAGCTGCATGGAAATTGGCAATGAATTTGACAAATACAATCTAAAAATAGTAAAAAAGTCGGAGCAACAATTTTGTTTTTACTGCTGGGAGGTGCGAAACAAAATTTTTTGTGTCTTAAAAAAAAGGGATGTCCTGCTTGAAGCCATTCTCTTTCTATTAAAGCTTCCATTCTAAAACATAATACATAAAATATATATGTATATATTTATACATATTTCACAAATAGTATGAAATTTATTTCCATTAATTATATTTCTTAAAATTTACCCTCTGATGGTTCTACAATCTGGGTTTAAAATTACTTGAACTAATGAAGTAATCAAAAGAGTAGAATCTAAACCATCCTGACCATGGACAAGTACTGATGAGTTTTCTTGATCTAGGCACTGCGCAGCTAGACATGCACAATTTAATGTTTCTTTAACATTTGTTAACCAATTGCTCGAATCCAGACGAGATAACCATCTATCCATTGGACAAGAAGGATCATTACATGCTTTAATAATACAATCAAACAATGTTCTTGAAAAAAAAAAAAAAGTCCCTTTCATTTTATTTTAAATCTGAAATCTTACCTTCGACTAATTTTGTAAGACTATCAAGAAGAGTTTGATATCTATCAATCGATCTGTGAATTCTCTTCCACAAAGGATAAAACATTTCATGTTCAAAACCACCACCTTTAGATTTGGCATTTTGTGCTAAATTTAATGCTCTAGTATCGATAATATATCCCCTTTTACCAGGACCTAATAAAGAGTTTAATAATTTTTCATCTTCCTTTGATCTTTTTGAATTAGGACCAGTTAATGGTTGGCTGCTTCTCATTAAAATACTCTACAATTAAGTATAAATTTTAATATTTTCATGTAACAAAATTAATTATTATTAAAATAAAATTGATTAAAAAAAAAAAACTTGAAAGAAATATGTTACCTCAACATTTAAAAAAAATTATTAAAATTCTTTCCCATAAAAACTGAATAAGATCATATAAGTCAAATTTTTATGAATATACATATTTTTTAGTATATTAATAAAAAGGAATTTTAAACTCTAATTACATTGTGAAAACTTTAGATGAGCTATGATTATATTTGTATTTTATAAAGCAAAATTAAGTAGTAATTTAGTATTAAGTTTTAAATAATTTGTCAAATTAATAAAAAATAAGAAAAGCCAACTTACCCCTGTTTTATGTCGGTAACTTAAAATTGGAAATCTGCCTCCTTCTCTGAAACTTGCAGCAGCCACAACAGTTTCATCATCTATAATTTTAGGAACAATCAATATCTTCGGATAAGTCCCACAAACCTGAAAATATAAAACATAATTAGTAAAAAATTTTTAATAAAAAAAAAAATGTTCATATTTTTAAAAATAAAAAAGTTAATATTAATTCTGGTAATAAGTAATGAAAAAATAATCAAGTAATGAAAAAAAAACTTATTTATTTACTTTGTAACAGTTGAACAGTTTTTGGCTTTTTACTTTATTTTTACTTAACAATTGCAAACAGAAAAAATGATATCAGTTTTGCATATTTTTCTTATTAATAATTTGATTTACCTGAAATTCTTTGTTAACATTAGTAAATCTCCATTCATCAGGACATGTAGAGACTAATTTTTTATATTCGGATTCAGTATCAAAAGCATCCCATCCATTTTCGATCACCATAAAGTTTGGCCTGTAGAAAAATGGATAGAGTTTGCTAATGTCTTCTATATTTATGAGTCTGTCAAGTGTCACAGCAACATTTACAAAGTCTTTTTGATTAAAAAGATCCATTTTTAATATTCTTAAATCCTTACATTTTATAAATAGGGAACCACCATTTTGAACATTATTAGCTTGTCTTCTATCGATAAAATCTATATTTGAATGAAGTAACTAAAAAAAAGGTTTTCTTTAATTAAAAAAAAAAAAAGTATATATGAAACAAAATAAGTTGTAATTAAACTTACCCAGATTTCTTCAGCCCCATCTTTTCGAGAAGATATTATTAAATGATGACCTGTAATACATATAACTGCTTCTAACTCGGTATTAGGAGGTATAGTTATTGCAACTTTGTTTACTTTAGATGTAAGTATATATTCTGCAAATTCCATTTCTTCTCATGAAATCTTTACTGAAAAAAAAATTTTTAAATGCAAAAGATTCAATAAATATTAATTTCAAATTAAATAAGCCAATTCATTCTTTCTTGAAAAAAACTTTTTTAATTGTAATTGTACCCAGCGAAAAACTTAACTAAATGACAAAATAAAATGAAAAACAAAAAAGCAAGACTTTAAAACGTCAAAAAAAATTAAAACGTTGAATAAATAAAATTTTGATGATTCTTTAAATAATTTACCATATTTAAATAATTATCTGCAGTAGTTATGTTGTACAAGTTCTAATAAAATATATTTACACATATTTATATTAAAAATGTTTTTGCTAAAAAATCTCACCTATTAATTAATGTATAATGTAATAGATATCAGTAATGTATATCAATAAAAATCTTGAATGGACATTACTGATAAAGATTACAAGGAATAGATCATTAGCTTAACTGAAACATAAAAACGAAGTAAGCAGCCATGATGAAGATAATATGGTACAAGAGGGGATAAAAATTGCCCCCGCTAAAAAAGAGTGATGAACTGCATACAGTTCGAGTGTCAAAGTATGCTTTGGTAAGCCTGTATCTGGTAAAATACCTAAACTTTCACATTGAGCAAATTGTTTAAATAAAAATTTTGGTTTGGATGTATTTGAACTTTAATAATAGATTTGACTTAATTTACAAAGTTGCAATTTGTAAGAATAATAAGTTGAGAGTTTAATTTTTTAACAAAGTAAAACGTTATGTTAATGTAAGAGTTTTTTTTTTTTTTTTTTAATTTTTATTTGGGCAATCTAATGTCAATTAAAAAATAAAAAATCCAAGTTCAGTTTTTAAAAAATGAATAATGCTTTGTTTTTAAAAAAATTCATGAATAATCAAAATTTTGTATTATTAAAGTTATAAAATCTTTTATTTAAAGTATACATACCTAGTAAATATATTTATATGTATAAATATACATATAATTTACATATTTAAATTTTAATAAATTTTTAAAATATATTCTTTTTTAGGCGTATTTTTTTCTAGCTTATATAATGAAGGAAGCTAACCTAATTAAAATGAGTACTGACAAAAGAAAAACTTCAGAACTTGTTCAAATACTAAAATAATAATTTTGGAAAGTAAGTTTGCATATATTTGTAAGGTTGAGTATTGCATTACTCGTTGGTTAAGGTTAAAAGAGTATGATAGAATATAAGATTTTTGAATTTTTTTGGCATTAATTATCATTATTTACTTAGAAATACAAAAATTACATTTTAATATGGCACTTAAACTTTACTTACATGTATACATATACATCTATATATATATATTACATGGCATTTATGTTAATATTTGTAAAGTCAGTCATATGAAATATTAATAAAAAAATTAATTTAATATTATTATTAGTTTATAAATCTTATATATTACTTTGTGGTTAAGTATGTAAGAAATTATTTTTACTTAGAATTATACCTGCTGGTAACAAAAATACATTTCTGATATTTTTAGCATTGGTACTTAATTCTTTTATTGTATTATATATCTGTTCAAATTTCTGTAGCTTTGGAAATATTAACATTAAAATTATAAATGACTACAGGCAATTTTACTTTAAAATTTGTTACATAAGAAATGATATTAAATTTATTGTGCTATTGATTTGATTTTTAACCATTTTTTAATATATTATTTTTAATTTATAAAATAATTAACTAAGTGTGTAATAGTTTCATAAGTACAAGAATTTAAGTTTTATCTATTAAATTTATTATTATTATTATTATTATTATTTTTATAGTTATGATAAGTTATATTCAGCTTAATTAGAAATGTCTTCAGAAGATACAGACAACTTTGAAAATATATGTTCACTCAATGATGAGTCTGATACAAGACATTCTTCAAAATCATTAGTAATACCTAATAAAAGCCCATTGAAAATAAAACTAAAAATAAATAAAAAAACTCTTGAACATTCTGAAAGAAACAATTCAAGTGTTGTGACACATATCAAGCCAGAAAAAAATGATTTGAATGAAAAATTAAATTCAACATATTTAGAGGAGTTGGTAGAGGAAAATGAAGAAATAGTTGCATTAGAAAGAGAAAGAGAAATAAACAATGTCAATGAAGGTCCTAAAATGAAATTAAGATCTACTAAAGACACTGAATTTGAAGTTGAATTAAAGAACAAAGAAATATGTGACAGGAAAAAAAAAACCCATGATTTTTGCTGTGATTCTAATTTAAAAAGGTCAAAAAGGCAAAGAAAACTATCAAAAATTATTTATCAAGATAATTCTGATAAAATAGATGGTATTAATAAAAAATTTCAAAAAAAGGAAGAGAATGTTGTTAATGTACCAAAAAAAATAGATATGACAGAAGTGAGTATTTTTAATATATATTAATTTTACAAATAAAATTCATAATTATTCATAAAATTTGGATCAAAATGTAAATTGAATATCTTTTTCCACAGTTTACCTTTTTTATATAAACTAATTTTTTACTTACTTATTGAGAATTAAATATTTTATAGGATTCAATATGTGTAAATAAAGAATCTTTCTGTTGGACTTGCCATAAAGATGGATCCGTTGTAAAATGCGATACCTGTCCCCGAGTTTTCCATTTAAAATGCGTATCTTTATCAAAGGACCCGTCAAAAAATTGGATATGTCCCGAATGCAGTTTGGTTCTGCATGCCGAAAAAATGTCAACCAGATCTGAGGCTATGAAAAGTCTTTCACTTGATCAGCTTTGCACTCTTCTTAACTTTGCAATCGGTAGGATGAAAAATGTTCCCGAGGTAATTAATCGTAACGTCTTTTAATTTTTTTCTTCAGTTTGTAATAGCTTGAAAACACGAGTTGAATTAAAAACATTAAATGCTTACTTTAAAACTTTGTTTAAATAATTAAATGATAATTTTGTGTTAAATACTCTATAATGCTGTTCAATTTATTTGATCATTATTATAGTAAATAAATGTAATTTCAGTCTCAAGTTTTTTGGAAGGCTGTAGATCCTAAAGAAGTTCCTTCTTATGATAAGTACATCACAAATCCAATGGATTTAAATTTACTTGAACGAAACATGAAAGCAAAAATGTATGGTTCTCCTCAAGCTTTCCTTGCAGACACCAAATGGTTGCTTCATAATTCAATTATATTTAACTCAACTCAAAGTCCTCTCACAAGTACCGCCAGATTTTTAGTTAAAATTTGCCGTCAGGAAATGGCAGAAATAGAAAATTGTCCTGATTGTTATTTAAATGCTCATACAAAAGAAGATTGGTTTACTGAAGTTTGCGTGAGTATATTTTTTTTTTTTTTTTTTTTACTTTTAAAACATTTGTAAAATAATTTAATTAAATACTTTTTAGTTTAATAAATTTTATAATCATTAACCTACATGGTCAGGTTTGTTAATTAATATTAGTTTTTAAATTATTTGAACTAAATCATAAAGTTTCGTTTGAAAGTTTTTGGTTAAATTGATAAAATTTTTTTTTCAGCGAAAGCCTCACATTCTTATATGGGCTAGGCTCAAAGGATTTCCATTTTGGCCAGCTAAAGCAATGTCAACAAATTTAAAAACACAACAAGTTGATGCCAGGTTTTTTGGGGCTCATGATAAAGCTTGGGTTCCAGTAAAAGAATGTTATTTATACAGTAAGGGCAGCCCTCAAATTTTTAGTAAAAAAAGATCTGATTTGGACGATGCATTTTTAGAAGCTGAAACCTATATTAAAAAAATTCGCCAAATTTACGGAACTTTTTCTTACGCACCTGATAAAACTCCTTTTGTTCCTGAATTATACGATAAGCAATTGCAAAGTTTAATTCCTAATTATAAAGAAGAAAAACAAGTGAAAAAAAAAAGAAAAAGTGAAATGAAAATTGAAAATGAATGGAGTGAAAACAAATGCAACAAGTCTATAAAAAAATCGGAAAGTGATACCTCAGCTCAATATTGCAAATTAAAACGTTTCGATTGTGAAGAAATAGACAAATTAAACAAATCTGGCGAAGAATTCTGTGTGGTAAATAAAGATCACGAATCAAAAGAAGAGATTTCAAGTGAAATTTGTAAGGTTTCGGAATCTGTTGAAAATCAAATTTCACAAAAACTTGAAATCTGTGGTAATCGTAACAAAATAAATGAGGAGCAAGTAGAAGAAAATTGCATTGATTCACAAGAAAATTTATGTTTACCAACTCTAGAACAAAGTTTTAGTCCAGAAACTGATTCTTTAAATGAAAAATATTCAACTGCTTCTGAATGTCAATCAGGAAATGAAATAATTGAAAAATCAGAACATGTTGAAGAGCAAGAGAAAGAAAAAATTTGTGAAAATGAACTAGTAAGTAATAATAATGAAGTGCCAGATAATGTTGACAATCAATGTTTAATCGATGACATTAATTTAATTTCAAATGAAGAAAAAACACCCAAAAAAATGAATGTGCACAAGGCTAACAGTGAGCATTGTGAAGTTTCCTCGACAAGTGTGGATCTTAAAATTACTGAAAATAGTAATTCTATTAGCATTGTTGACACAACAGAATCGACAACGTTGGCTGTAAACGGTAATAGTTGTGAAAGTGAAAAAAAAAACTTATCTTTAAATATGAGTGATGCTTTAGTGGAAAATGAATCCAATTTTGAGTCATTAAAACAAACTGAAGAACAAGTTCCCAAATCTTTTGTTAACTTGTCTTGTGATCAAAAGCAAAAAATAATAAATGAGGCCAAATTATTAGCAACCCTAGATGAAATCACAGCTTTAGAGAAGCAAAAAGTATTGAACGACTTGGGCTTAGATGCATCTACTGTTGATATTCGACAATTAGCTCAAGAAAATCGTGAAATCCTTGAAATTTTAAGCAAGAAATGCCAAGATTTTAGTGAGCAATTAGGAGAAGTAGATATTAAAACGGAGAGTTCAGAAAAGTATTTAAAAAAAGAAAACAATGATGTTACGGATAATGGGGAAAATTTAAATTTTATTACTTCAAAAGTAGGTACGATTAAAGTAAAAAATGTTAATAACCTGTTTGAAAAAAATAGCAGTTCTGCAAAGAAAAATTCAACTTCGCAGTTGTTACAAATAAAAGACGTTCGATCTCTACAAAATTCTAAGCATAATTATGAAGTTAATGTTAAAGTAGAAAAATCATCATTTAATGACTCCATTCAACCAAAAAAATTAAAATTAGAACCGGTTGTACAATTAATTAAAATAGATCCCTGTAATAAAACGATAAAAAAATTTACAAACAAAATAAAATTGTCAGATGAAGTTAGTTTGTTAATGGTTGATGGGAGTAAAATACCAAATTCAAATAGAACGGAAGTGAAAAAAAAACATTGTAAAAAAAACATAAAGTCGCGAATGCGTAAGAGCATAGCAAATGCAATAAAATCAGTTTCTGATTTTTCCACAAAATCATCAAAGAATTTAAATGTAATATCTGTCGATACGGAAAATTCAACTGCTCAAAAGAATTTATTAAGAAGTTTGAGATCGGATGAGAAAACGGTGAATGACGACGGAAATAAAAATGTCTTGAATTCAGTAAGTGACGTTGAAATGGATCACAGTGAAATTTCGGGAAAGAATTCAATGAAAGAATTAACTATTGAACCAATAAAAAACATTGAAAATGAAAGTGAACAACAAATTACTCGAGATAATATTGTGTCACAAAAAAATTTAACGGTTGTAGCTAATTCTCACTTTCTACTGACCACTAGCAGGTCTCCAGTTGTTTCAGGACAAAACAATCAACCAAATTTAACATTTTCCCAAAACAATTTAGGTCAGTTAAGTTTAGTTCATTTATCAAATATGACGAATGGAATTCAAACGAATTTTGTTAATCTCTCTAATGAAAGTGTCGGTTTTAACAATTCTTCTACTGGAACATTGTATGCATCACAAGGATTTAATCCTAATTTTCCTTCTAATTCCGGTCTGGGATCCGTTATACTTACTCCAAGTTTAGGTTCAAATGTACAAACTTCTTTGTCAACTGTCAATTCAGGAACAAAAGGAAGTAAAATTTCCAGTGATTCACAGAAATTTTCTGGAAACAGGGGGGATTCGTCCAAGTCCGTATTAATTACTTCTCAAAATAATAAATTTTCTCCAGTGATTGAAGTACCGGGTGAAGAAATGACATTATCAGGAGAAGTTGGTTCTGTTACAGCAGAACTCAATAAGTATTCAGCAAAGGTAACTTTAAATTTCAATTAATATACCTAAAAAAAAAAAAAAATTGACTCCATTTTATCAATTATATAAATAAAAAAATTGATTTTCTTACAGATGGCAGATTACATGAAAACAGCAATTGAAAATTTATTAAGAGAGCTTTCCAATCAGGGATCTTTGGAAGCAAAATATAAATTATTAATTCTTGAAATGGAAAAACTTCAGTGGAAACATCAACAAGAAATATCTGAATTAAAGCAACGCTCAGGTAATTTTTGTTTTCTTCTCACTATTTATTTCAAAAAAAAAAAAAATTGTTACATTTTAAGAGTAGTAAAAGAATTCATCTTCAGGATTGAAAGGCATACAATTTGGTTTAACTTGGTTTAAATTTTTTTTTTTTTTAGAAAAAACATTAATGGAACTGAGAAACACATTACAAATGGATAAACAAAAATCATTAGACGAATTAAAGAGTCACTTGGAATCCCACTATCAAAAAATAATAAGCGAAACCAAACGTAAACAATGGTGTGCTAATTGTGGTAAAGAAGCATTGTTTTATTGCTGTTGGAATACTAGTTATTGTGATTATCCTTGTCAACAGCAACATTGGCCTGGTCATATGAGTAGTTGCGCACAATTGGGGAATAATAATGTGTCAATTGGAAGTACTACCAATCCCCAAATGCAAGTAAGTAAAAGAAAGAATATGAGAGTTATTTAAATATTAGGCTAGTTTATAAAGTTAAAGTTTTAGATTAATGAATTTCCCATTGAAAAAGTAATTCTTTAACAAAATTTTTTTCTTCACAATATATTTTTTTGTATAAAAATTAAATTAGTGCTTTGAAACAAGCCTAAAAACTACCAAATTGATGAAAGAGAAATTTAAAATTTCATTAATTAAAAACATTATTAATTGTTTTTAAAAACTAATTGTGATAAAAATAAAATAAAAAATTTACTTTTTTTTTTTTTTTTTTAGGCAAAACCTTGTAAATAATTTATTTGATCAACCTTTGTTTATCTGTTTCTTTTTATAATGAATGGATGAATAGAAATAAGGAAAGGAATAAAATGAGCTTGAGAAAAAAGATTCTTGGTTTTCAGGTAAAGTACTATAAGTTAATGCCAAATATTTAAATCTTTTTTTTTAAAAAAAAAAAAAAAAAAAAAAAGCTCAAAAAATAGATTCTTAAGAAATTTTTGTAATATATATATATATGTATGTATTGCACATTTGCCTAAATAATCTAAGATTTTCTTTCGTCATTTTATGATTGTTTACTTTAATAACTAATAATAGAAAATAATTTCAAAAATTAAAGTAAAGTAAAGTAAGTTTTGTTTACAAAAGTTGAATTTGTTACTGTTTACAAATAATTTTGAAATCAGTGAATTTGAAAATCTTAATATATTACGTAATGTATTAGGCTTAAAAACGTAATTTTTATATATAAAAAAAAAAATTTGTAATTTATTGTTATTAAGTAGTAATCAAAATACAAAATGTATGTTCGTTCTTTTGTCAATTTAACTTGTTTGATTGATTTTTTAATACCATTTATATATTTATATTTAGGCAGGCAGCTTTTTTTTTTTTTTAGTTAAAAAGATTTCTATTTATTTAGTATAAAGCTCATAGATAGCAAATAGACAATGAAGTCATTGTGATATTTAAATAAATTATTTTGTTTTTAATATTTGTTTAATAAAATTTTTCCAAAGAATCTATTATAAATCAAAAAAAAAAAAAAATTTTATTCCAATACCCATTTTAATTTTGACAACAATAATATTTTAAGCTCTAAAACGTATATTTAAAATTTATTAATAATTTTCTCGTAATTTCTTTTTAAAAAAAAATATAGTTCTGTATAATGTTTTTTAAAATTTTCTTAGTTTTGTTAAATTTGGGTAAATTTGAGTTAAAGAATTATCCAACAAATGAATCTTTATATAATTGTAATTATGTAATAGATAAGCGGTTAAATATTTGATTTAACTCTGCTACCACGAGCCCTAAATAACTTGATCTGTGATTTTTTTTTTCCTCAATGTTTTTTTCTATTTTTAGGCAAATGCCTAAATTTTTATTTTTATTAGTATATTTTTAAAAAAATATTATTATAATGCTTAGTATAAGAACAAAAAATTTTACTAATTATTTTTTTAAGCATCTTCTGCTTTTAAATTCAGCAGAAGGTAAAAAGACTAGTAGAAACACAAGTTCTAAACCCAATATTGAAAAAATGCAAAATTCTAAGAAATATAATCCAGTAACTCATGTTATTTTTGATTTGGATGGACTTTTATTGGGTACTATTATTAAAATAAGAAGATTTATTTTCAATTTTAATTTTTTTTTTTTTTTTTTTTTTAATTTTAGCACAAAGCAATAATTTACCTTAACCACAAAAAAAAAATTTTTTTTTTTTTTTTTTATCTTTTTAAATAAAATTTTGTATTATCTAATTTAATTTTAGACACAGAGACAATTTACAAAGATATAATATCAAAAATTGCTGAATCTTATAACAAAAAGTACACGAAAGAAATTCAAATAATGGTACTAGGTACAACTGAGCAGTCTACAGCAAAAATTGTTGTTGAAAATTGTGGATTACCAATCTCTTCAGAAGAGTTTCTTGAGCAATTTAGAGGAATGCAAGTTTCTTATTTGCCTCATGCCAAATTAATGAAGGGTATTAAATATTATTTATTAATACATTATTTAATTTTTTTATGTAATTTCTTTGTTTAATTAAATGTATATAATAATAGTTTTTTTTTTTTTGTTTTTTTAATGGATAAAGGAGCAGAAAAATTAGTAAAACATTTACATGAAAATAATGTTCCTATTGCTGTTGCAACAAGTAGTAGTCAGAATTCAGTGGATGTTAAAACTAAAGCTCACAAATCATTATTTGATTTATTTCATCATATTGTTACGGGAAGTTCTGATCCTGCAGTGAAACAGGGAAAACCAGCTCCAGACATTTTTTTCGTATGTGCCGATAGATTTCCAGACAAACCAAAGTACGAAAAGGTAATTAACTAATTCTAAAATTCATCATTAGTTGATTAAATTTTTTTTTTTTCTTTAAGAAATTTTATAAATTTTTATTTTTTTTTTTACAGTGCCTTGTTTTTGAGGATGCTCCTAATGGGGTAACTGGAGCAATTGCAGCAGGTATGCAAACAGTTATGGTCCCTGACTCTTTTTTACCTCAGGATAAAACTTCTCATGCTACATTGGTTTTAAACTCATTATTAGATTTTAAACCAGAACTTTTTGGTTTACCTTCTTATAAATAACTCTTTATAAAATTACACACGATAACAATTAAACTACATTTTTGTAATTTTATTTGACTAAAGATTAACTAAGTCTCAGACAATTTGAATAAAAATACTGTCAAAAAAATACTAAAAGTATTTTTTTTTACCCTCAAGTTTATATCATAACAGAATTTTAACTTTGAAATAATTAATTATTATTGAAAATGTTTAATTTGTTTTTTTACTCATATTTATTTGCAAAATAATAAATTTATACAATAAATATTTTGTACTTACCGATCAGTATATGTAATACCATTTATAATTAAATTTAATATTAATATTTAAAAGGCTTCATTATTGTATAGATTATAAATTAACACCTGTAATGTAAAATAATTTTTGTGCTAATTCAAAAAAAAATTAATGAAATAGGGAATAAAAAAATAATAATTTAGTTTGGTAAAACTAATGATAATAAACTGATAATATGTTCAGCATGTTTAACAATGAATTATTGTTATTTATTGAAAAATCTAACAAAAAATATTTGTAATTAATTCTCTTTTGGATATATATTAAAGCAAAAATGTAGCAGAATTAAAAGTTTTTTTCCAACAAGTATTTGAACTCAATGTTTCACGTGAAAATATATTATACATTTTATTATGTATATTTAATAATATAGTATGTTTCAAAAAAAAAAATATATATTTGTTTATAAAAGATATTCTTTTCTATAATCATCCTATAATAGTAAATTTCTCCTTAAAATATATATATTTATTTAGAAATGTAAAAGATAAATTGGTAATGATGATAAAGAAGATGAAATAATCATAAATTATTATTTATTAAGTTTTAAAACTTCATTTCTGAAAATCAATAAATAGCTTAACAATACAAACATTTCTGGCATGTTTGATTAAAATTTTACTAGTACTAAAAAAATTAATTTCAATTAGTCTTCAAAAATTTATTCTTCATTTTGGTTATTTTACAGATCCCTTTACTAAACTTTCAAATTGTTTTAATATTTCATCACTGTTTTTATTACTTAAACATATCATATTTTCTTCTCCATTGTCTACGAGAAAAATATTTTATAAATTAATATTTTTATATATAAATAATTTTTATATACTGTTATAAAAATAATTATTAAAATAAATAAAAAATCACAAACCGAATCTCGCCCATAATTTCGGCTGTATTCCCTCACATTCCCTTATCAAAATCGGACATTTTGGATTCGTCTGTTTTAAAGAAAGATAATGGCTGTTTATGAAATTTCTATAAAAATATGAATAAATGACAATTTGTAAATTATAAATAATTTTGTACAGTAAAAGAACAAATTAATTAGAATTTTTTTACCTTACGCCATCGCTTGTAGTGTTTTTCTGACACAAATGAATTCGCAATTCACGAAGTCTATTAGAAAATTTTATAGCAGCAGACATTTTTCTATTTAAAAAAATACAAAATACTTATTCTACTGCCACGAAGTTTTTTAATCATTGACGATAGTGAAATTAGTTATTATGCAAATTATTCCGGAAAATTTTTAGTTTTTATATAAAATAGTTTTTTTTTTTTTTTTTCTTGAATAAAATTTCTTTTATTAAATATGACCTAATTTTTTAATGGCTAATTTAAAATCTTTTTTATGTTTTTATTCTCATCTTCCGTAAGACGTTTACTTACTATTAGATGTAAGTTTAATTATAGACAATGTATTTTAAATTTTAACTGATTATTTTCAATTTTATTTTTAGGATATGTGCTAAGCATTTCGTGAAAAATGATCCTCTTGACATCATTAAATTTAATACCAAAAACCGATACTTTTCTAACTCCATTGTATGCCAAGGGAAGTCTAATATAGGCAACATTAATTCTTTAGAAGCACGGTTAAAAATTAATAATGCAGCCAATTCTCATCAATCGTTTTCTTTACTTTGGAAACCATTTTTGTTCACGGCAATTGTATGTATTATTTAAATATATATTATTAATGGTTAAAGTAAAACATTTCAATTTCAAACTTTAAAATTTTAACAACTTTTTAAAAAAAGTGTTTCAAATTGAATACCAAAAAAAAAAATTATAAATAATTATTTTATCATTTTTAAGTTTTCTGGTGCGAGTTTTGCTGGAACTGCTATTTGGCAGTATGAAAATATTCGTAAAAAGGCCTTTTTACTTTTGCAAAAAAATTGGATTACAGACAAACTTGTAGTGTATAGACAGAAAAAGTACAAATGGAGGCAAGAATTTAACAAACTATGGAATCGTTTAACAGAAGGTGAAAAACTGTTTGTTCCTATATGTTTCATAAATTCTTTGGTGTTTTTAGCATGGAAAGTAAAAAAATTTCAACCTTTTATGATTAAATACTTTTGCAGTTCTCCATTCAATGGTAATTAATGTAAATTAGAATAAAATAAATTAATGATGATACAATAAATTTTTGATGTGCTATTAAAAAGCATATTTATATTCTTTTTTAGAAGCCGTATGCTGGCCAATGATTTTATCAACATTTAGTCACTACAGTTTTTTTCATCTTGCTGCAAATATGTATGTTCTTTACAGTTTTTCTACCAGTGGAGTTGAGGATCTTGGAAAGGAACAATTTTTAGGATTATACTTAGCTGGTGCAGTTATTTCATCATTTACAAGTTATTTGTATAAAATCTGTAGATCTCAACACACACTGTCAATCGGTGCGGTAAGTAAAAATCTTTCAATTATAATTAACAACTTATTTAATTAGTAATTGCTCAATTTTTGAATTTAAGTCTGGTGCAATTATGGCCATGGTGGCTTATGTTTGTGTTAAGTACCCTGATGCTAAGCTTTCTATTATTTTGTTACCTTGGATAGTATTTTCTGCTGCGAGTGGTATAAAAATAATAATGAGTCTAGATGTATTGGGAATTTTAAGAGGTTGGGCTTATTTTGATCATGCAGCTCACTTGGGTGGTTCTTTATGTGGTCTGTAAGTAACCTGGTTTCTTAGATGATTTTTAAAATTTAATATTTTTTCTTTATTACAAAAATTTATTTCAGTGGATGGTGTTTTTGGGGCAACACATATATTTGGCAGAATAGAGAACCACTTCTCGAATGGTGGCATAAACTTCGTTCAAAATAATAATATTTTAAGTTATTATTAAAAAAAAAAAAAACTATCATATAAAATCCAATAAAAACTTATGGCAATTTTTAAAAAATTAAATTTTAATTTTTTTTTATGTGAAAAAATCATTACTTATAAATTTTACTTACGAAATTTAGGTTTTGAACAAAAGGAAAACTAATTAAATGAAAAACTGTGAAAAAATATACAGAAATAATTATTTAAAAAATTCAGTTTTTTGCTTAAATCATTAATCACTCATATTACATTCTATATTATCAAATATTTCAGTAAGTAATAAACTTAATAATAATAAAAAAAAAGAGTTGAGTATTTTAAAGGCGATTTTTGCACAACAAAAATTATAAATTAAACAATTTTATTTCTTAACCAAGACAAAACGGCTTCAGTTCCTTTTGCTATAATAGCGGGTCGAAGAACGCGTAAAGGATTTCCCTCCAATTTCAATGTTCTGATAAGTATTGATTAGGTAAAAATTAATCCTCATTTTAAAATGATTAAAAATAAAAATAAAGATATACTAACCGTAATTGCGTCATTTTACCAATCAAGGGTGGTATCTCGGTCAAATTATTATTTGTCAAATCTAAATGAGTTAACATTTTTAAATTTAATAATTCCTCAGCATCAATGAAAGAAATTTTATTATTTCCTAATAATAGAATTTCGAGAGCGGGAAACTTGTAAACGCACATCGGTGGCTGGTTAAAACTGCAGAAAAATAATTTATCATTATCAGGTTATTATAAATACCAATATAATAATAACATCAAATTTTTGTTAAAATAAATGATGATGATAATAATTATCATGAAGAAGGTAAAAAATGTAACCGATTAAAATGATAAAATTTAAATTCTCACCTGTTAAATGAAATATCGAGTTCACGTAATCGAGTACAAGCTGCAAATTCATCTGGTAATTCTTTTATATTATTATGAGAAATATTTAAATATCTTAAATTGAGACATGTTTTGATTTCTGCAGGTATTTCTTGTAATTGATTACAGGAGATATTTAAATCGTTAAGGGTTTTACAAAGTAACCAGGTCCTTAAAACAAAAAAAACTCTGTCATTTAAGATTATTCTGATTTTAAAAGTTTTTCCTTTTTTTTTTAAATAATAAAACTTAATTAAATATTATGTTTCATTTTAAAATTAAAAGGAAAAGTGATCATTTATTTAAATTAAGTGTATAATTGAAATACTTACCCAGAAGGAATTTCTAGTAATTTATTTTTTGACAGATCAACAATTGTACATGGAACAGCAAGAGCTTCTTCGAAAACAGCTTTAGACACATTACATAAACTTTTGTTTGATAAATTTAATGCTTTGCTACATCTCATTGCGTACCTAATTAAGTAAAAAAAAAATTATTTAAAAAATACCCATCATTAGAAAAAAAAAAAAAATTTTTTTTTATATTACCTGTCAGGAAATTCTTCTTTTTCACAAGGATATTGTGATTGTAAATATTTCTCTGCTTCAGCAAGGGGCATTGTTAGCTTTAAATGATTTAGCAACCTATGAGTACCTCCATGAATTATATCTTTTCTAATGGATCGTAAACTGTTCCCTTCAACTAATAAAATTTCAAGATGAGGAAGTATGCTTAATGTATTTGGTAACCTGAAAGAAAAATATTAATAATGTTTTGAAATTATAATTAAACAGAATATTAAATTTAATTTTTTTTTTATTTACTCCATCAAATCGTTATTAGATAAGTCGAGCCGTACTAAATTAAGAAAACAAGAAATCTCCTTGGGTAGTTCTTTAAGATGATTGTTTCGAAGATTAATGACTTTTAAATGAGAAAGAGTACTCAATTCTTCGACTGTGATTTCCTGTGAAAAAAAAAAAAAAAAAAATTATAATTAATAAAAATGAATAAAATAATAAAATCGATATATAACATAGATATTTCACATGCTAATTTTTAAACATTACTCACGTGAAATAATTACCTTTTAAAAAAACTGAAATTTAATTTAAATTAGACTACACAAATAAATTTTTTAAATTTTTCTAAAAATTTAACTTGCAAAGTTTTATCGGGAAACATGCTTTTCATAAACAAAATGTAAATTACAAACAAGAGACAACTTTTTAATAACTATTTGTTGGGTGCATACAAAAATAAGCATGGAATCTAATCAGCTAAAAAAAAACAATGTAACTCACCTCATCTTTGTCTTCCGGAATTAATTTCTTATGTTGAAATAAAAAAATTAAAGTAGGGCTATTATTACTATCGTTGATATTATTCTTAAAAAAATATGTTTATATTTATATTTTTCAAGTAAGTATAGACTGACAAGATTTAACAATAAAAAAAATTATTGTAAAAATATTTGCCTAATGTCCAAAGAGTATTATATAATTAATATATTATTTTATGTCTTATTTAGTGAAGAAGATACCATATTTTAATCAAGAATTTAATATCAAAGATATATAGATTTTTGAAGAAAATTAAAAATAGTATATTATTAAATCATTTTATATAACTTACCTCAATCATATTAAATCCTAAATGAATCTCTTTTAACTCGGAGCAACCTCTTAAGCAGGGAAGTGATGTTAATTTGTTGTGTTGAAGTTGAATCATTTCCAGTTTTTTCATATCAAATAAATCTGGTAAACCGGAAGATGTAATTTTATTGTTTGACAAATTCAAATCTCTTAATGCTAAAAAAAAATTTTTTAATTAAATATTAGTTAACTAAAATTTTTAATTTATTAAAAAAGTTTTAATCTATTTACCTTGACAGCTTGTAATTTCCAAAGGAATGCTTGATAAGTTGTTATGAGACAAATTTAAATTGACCAACCTTGTCAAAAAACCTATACCAGGTTTTATTTCTTCTATTTTATTCGACGAAATGTCCTAAAAAAAGATAATTAAGTTTTAGTTTGATCATTTTTTAATATTATTTTTATTGCTATCTAAATAAAGTAGCAAAAAATTTAAACATATTTTAAATTACACTTAAAACACAATATACAAAAAAGAATTATTAAATTTTTAATATAAAATTTTTTAGTTGTTAATATTATACTTATAATATAATTTTTTTAATTAAATCATTTATAAAAAAGTCTTACCAAAAAATTAAGTAAAACTAAGTCATATAAAAAATCAGGAAATATTTTGCATAAATTACTAGATAAATTTATATTTTTTAATTCTTTCATTCCAGATAATTCCATAGGAAATTCATGAAGTTCATTTTGACTTAAATTTAATGTTACCAACTTTGTTAATTGACCTAGTTCTCCTGGTAATGAATTCAAATTATTATGGTGCAGCTATAAACAATTTTTTGTCAATCATTGAATGAGATTGTTAAATATGAGGTATGTTATATATTAAGAAGTTACCATTAATGTTACTAGACTGTCTAAAATTTTAATTTTAACAGGAATTGTTTTAAGATAATTACTGGACAGATCAAGAGTTTTTAGGGGTTCAACTTCCCACCATTTACAACTATCATCTTCTTCAGTTTGATCAAAATCAATATTTTGATTTGTTGAATAGCTGTTTGAAAGGTCAAATATTTCATTTGGCCCTAAAATGAAGTATGCAGTAAATAATAAAAAGTTTTAAGTCTGTTAAATTATTTATATAAATACACAAGACTAACTTACATACTGTTAATTGCTTGTCTGATAAATTTAATTTGCCGCTTTTTCTAGCTTCTTTCATTAGTACCTCAGGAACTTTATAGGTACTAGTGCCTTCATTATGAAATATAGAACTGTGGCCAGATCGTTTTCTCATTGTATTTTTTAAAAAGTTTTAATTTTAATTAATGTATATTTTAATTGACAATCTACCCTTTTTATATAAAGGATTTATATACAATAATCGTTTTTTATGAAATGAAAATTTGTTTCGAATACAGAAAACTTAATTGAAATTAAAGATTAAATATAATTATAATTAAAACATTAAAAAGATTTGAGTATTTTAATCTAACCGAATTATCTCATTATGTAAAATACTCATTCTAAAAAAAAAATCTTATCAAAACTTGTTGTACTGCAGGTGGTTTTAGAATTTTAGTTACACGATGTTTGTTGAAAATTTTTTCCATCATATCCGGGAACTCCAGTGCTTTGTATGGCAATATTAAAAATGGCGGCAGACCAAGGAGAGTTTAATCAGCTCTTGATTACTTTAAATAGCCCGGATAATGAAATTCGAGCACAAGCTGAGGTAATTTTTATGATTACAAAACAATAAAAATTGTTAAATTTAAGATTTTATATACAGGTTTGATAATATGTATACTTTAACTTCATTCAAATGAATTAACTTATTGATACTACGGTGTTAATGTGCATGCATGTGGTAATTTGTAAAAATCAAATAATGGCCCGAATTATCCGTTTGGATGAATATAAATTTGTAATTTTTCCTTGTCTTACACATTTTTAGTCTTATAAGATAGAAATACGCAAACCTAAAGTAAAATATTATCTGTAAAGAATGATTACCGGTTTACTTATTGCATTATATAATGTAAACTGGTTAATGAAAATTATTAGAGTTGAGTTTACCATCAATTGTAATTTGAAGTTAAGTAAAATAACTTCTGTTTGAAACGTTTTTTATTAATTTTTTACATATTTTTAAAAACGTTATAAAGATTATAATTGGATTTTCAAGTATATTTTTCATTTTTATATTTATCTAAAAAATGCTTTGGAAAAATATTGTGTCTTCCTAGTTTAGACCAATTCAATTAAAATTAAGTTTATGCATCATAACTTTTTATTAATTGTCAAAAGTTTATAATTTAAAAAAATGTATTTTTGCAAATTTGGATTGGTTTAGGAATCTCTGAACAACATCACAGTTGACAATAGGGCTCTCCTACTTCTGTCTGCTTTGGCTAGTCCAGTAGGTGAAGATGTCAAACAAATGTCATCTATTTTGTTAAGAAGGCTTTTCTCAAATGAATTTGCAGATTTACAACTTAAAGTAAGTTAATATTTATATTAAATCAGCTGTTTGAAGAATTATTTTGTAGTAATATGCTTAAAATTAAACAGATTTTCATAACTGTAATCAATTATTAACTTTGAAATAAGAATTAAAAATATGAAAAGCAATAAAATTCTTATAAATGCATTTAACAAATATTGTGAGTATTGATGATTGTAATTTTTTTGTTATACAGTTGTCACCAGAAAATTTGGAACATATTAAAACTCAGGTACTTATGGGAGTTCAAGCAGAGCAATCAGAAAGTCTTAGAAAACGCATGTGTGACATAGCAGCTGAATTAGCTCGTAATTTAATTGATCAAGATGGTAATAATCAATGGCCTCAATTTTTGCAATTCTTGTTTCAATGTGCAAATTCTCCTTCTGCTTCTCTTAAAGATAGTGCTCTAAGAATGTTTGCGTAAGTCAAATTTTTTTAGTTATCAAACTTTAATTTGAGTTATTTTTGCCTTAATTAAACTTTGTATTTATTTTAAATACTACAAACATTTTGCAGGAGCGTTCCAAGTGTTTTTGGTAACCAGGAATCCAATTATTTGGATGTTATAAGACAGATGCTTGAACAAAGTCTTTTACCGACTCAACCTTATGAAGTTAGGTTTCAGGCAGTAAGGGCAGTTTCAGCTTTTGTATCATATCATGAAAAGGAAATGCAAATTTTAAAACATTTTACTCAACTTCTTCCTGCTATGCTTAAAGTAAGCAATTTTTATAAAATTATTTAAATTATTTTTTTATCAAGAAATTTGTTGTCAAACTAAAAAAAATTTTGTACATTTTTTTTAGTTTTTACAACTTTTGAATTTATCTTTTTTATTTATGCAGAGATTATTTACATAATGGTATTCTAATTTGATTGCAAATTTATACCTGAACATAAAGCATTTAATTTTTTGATGAAAATGAACTTTATTAAACTTCATTTTTTCTCAGTTTAAATTTAGGTTGTAATTAGTTCAAACACTTCAAAGTCTTTTTTTTTTTTAATTTCTATTATGTCTTAAATTTGGATATGTGATTTTCACAAAAATCGGTTCTGTTGCTTTAAAGAAAAATTATTAAGTAAATTATTTCTAAATAATTTAATGTGATTGATCCAGCATGCGATTCTGCATCTAGGTTGTCATGGAAAGTATCGAGAAACAAGATGGTTTACTACTTCCTTGCTTAATAGAGTTAGCTGAGATAACTCCAAAGTTTTTAAGGCATCAACTACCAGTTGTTATGGAATTATGTATTAAGGTAAAAATAAAAATTTTCTTTACTTTAAATATATATAAATATTTTGAATTTGTAATTTGATAATTACAAAAAAGATGACTGGCAATAATATGAGAAACAAAAATAATAATAAGCGGCATTTGTGGAAAAAAATAATGTCAACAATTAATGTTGCTACATCTATAGCTTTTCTAACGGGAAATCCGCTAGAAAAAAAATAAAAAATTTTTAGGTAAGTTATTTTAGGTAAATTAATCGTTTTTGGTGAAGGTCTAAGAGAAAGGTCATCCTGTCCATTTCCTTATTTGGATCATGGGTACCGCCAGTTTAAGATTCTAAATAATTTATTTTTATGATTTTTGGTTCTAAATATTAAAAATGTTCATTCTTAATGAACTATTTTAAAATTAACATGAATTAAAATTTTTAATATTTTTTTATTTTATTTAGTAACATCAATTTTTCGTAGGTATTAAGAACAGACGATATGATGAATGAATGGCGTCATTTAGCTCTTGAAATTATGGTAACATTATCAGAAACAGCTCCCGCGATGATGCGAAAAAATGCTGGTGAGTATTTAGTCGCATTAGTTCATGAAGTACTGAAAATGCTGACTCAATTAGAAGACGACGAAAATTGGAGCATGAGTGATGAAATTATTGAAGACGATAGTGATAGGTTGGTAAAAAAAAATTTCATTTTATTTTACTTTTTTTTTTTTTGTTATATGTAATTCGAATTTTTATTATATACTTTTAGTCCGAACATCATAGCTGAAAGCGCATTAGATAGATTAGCTTGTGGCCTTGGAGGAAAGACAGTATTACCTGTAATTGTAGAAAACATTCCAGGCATGTTAAGCAATTCAGATTGGAAATATCGACATGCTGCATTAATGGCTATTTCAGCAATTGGAGAAGGCTGTCATAAACAAATGGAAGCAATGTTACCACAAATTATGGATGCTTTGCTTAACTTTTTACAAGACCCAGTATGTTAAAATTAAAATTTGTGTAATATTATTCATTTTTTTTTTGATTTACAGCGTTGAATAATTTTATCGAAACTCTAATTTACTTATTCTAAGTTTTAAAAAGTAATACGTTTTAAATTTTACTTATCTCTTTTTGTTGATACTGAATCTCATATTCACTGTGTTAGCCTATAAATTAATCACTTATAACCTAAAAACAGATATTTCAGTCCCTATACGAGTAACATAGTGAAAAATTTTAATTAAATGGTTTTTTTTTTTTTTTTTTAAAATAGCATCCCAGAGTTCGTTATGCAGCATGCAATGCTGTCGGACAGATGTCAGCTGATTTCGCTCCAGATTTTGAAAAAAAATTTCATGATAAAATAATTCCTGGATTGTTGCATGTTTTAGATGATGATCAAAATCCTAGAACGCAAGCACATGCTGGTAAAAAGCAATAAAAAAACTAGAACTAAAAAAAAAAATTAAAATAAATGTTTCTGATAATTATTAATAATTTTTAGGAGCTGCACTTGTTAATTTTAGTGAAGAGTGTCCGAAAAATATATTAATTCAGTATTTAAATCCCATCATGCTTAAGCTTGAAGCCATTCTTAGTGCCAAATTCAAAGAATTAGTAGAAAAAGGAACAAAATTAGTTTTGGAGCAAGTTGTAACCACTATTGCATCAGTGGCTGATACCGTAGAAGAACAATTTACAACTTATTACGATAGGTTAGTTACAAACCAGCTTTATTCCTCGTGGTTTTTTTAAATAATTTATTTATTATTTAATAAAACTAACATTTAACAATTTCTCAGATTAATGCCTTGTTTGAAATGCATAATTCAAAATGCAAATAAAGATGATCTAAAACTACTTCGTGGAAAAACAATAGAGTGTGTCAGTATGATTGGTGTTGCCGTGGGTCCCGAAAAATTTATGCACGATGCGTCAGAGATAATGGATTTACTTCTTAAAACCCACAATGAAGTACAACTTCCAGATGACGATCCCCAAACAAGTTACTTAATTTCTGCCTGGACGAGAATTTGCAAAATTTTAGGCAAGTTTTTAAAAAATAATTTTTTTAAAGGTTCAAAAAATAACGAAAATACAAAAATTTATATATTAACCCGCAGGAAAAGATTTTCAAAGATATTTACCACTGGTTATGGAACCAATCATGAGAACCGCATCAATAAAGCCGGAAATTGCCTTATTAGATAACGAAGACATGCAAGATATTGAAAAAAATGTAGATTGGCAATTTCTACCACTAGGAGAACAAAAAAATTTTGGAATCAAAACTGCCGGTATGGATATTTCAATGTTTAATTCACAATATGATTCATAAAAACCTGTAAATAACCCAAGTTTTGTTTCAATTAAAATTTTTATCTGGCCAATTTTACATTTTGCTATTTATTTAAGTGTAAAACAATTTTTATCGCAAAAATTGAATGTTTTTTTTTTTTTGTTTTTTAGGCCTTGAAGATAAAGCTTCTGCTTGCGAAATGTTAGTTTGTTATGCTCGTTATTTAGGAGAAGGATTTGCAGATTATGCTGAGGAAGTTGTCAAATTAATGGTACCCTTATTAAAATTTTATTTTCACGAGGGTGTAAGAACTGCTGCGGCAGAAAGTTTGCCTTATTTACTCGAAAGCGTGAAAGCAAAAGGTATACATTTTCAAAAAATTGTTACTAAATATTATTATTATTATTACGATTTCAATTATTTTTATTTTTAAATTTTAAAATTGCAGGGTCTGCTTATTTGGAGGGAATGTGGAATTACATATGCCCAGAATTACTAAAAGCTATCGATAATGAACCTGAAAGTGAAGTATTGACCGATCTGATGCACTCGCTGGCCAAGGTAAATTCCAAAAAAATTATTTAAAAGACAATAAAAAAAGGAAATAGTTTAAATAGAAAATCGTTTTTATATTTTTACAAATAGTTATTTAATGTTAAAAAAAAATGAGAAAATTTCGGTGAAATTGTAAAAAAAAATTTTATAAATTATTAGTATAAATTTTTTAAATATTTAAGTTTTGATTGTAGTGCATAGAAACTTTAGGAGCAGGTTGCCTATCTGATGAATCAATGAGTGAACTCATGAAGATTTTAGATAAACTATTAAATGAATATTTTTTAAGAGTAATTAAAAGAGGAGACAAAAGAAAAGAAGAAGATTACGATGAGGTATTTAATATTAATAAGTTTTTTTTTAATAAATAAAAAATTGAGAATGGATGTGATACGAATAATAATTTGAATAATGAATGATTTTTAGATTACAGAAGAACAATTAGAGGATGAAGACTGTCAAGACGTTCACTTATTAAGCAAAGTTGCGGACGTTCTTCATTCATTGTTTGCTGCATACAAAGCTGCATTCTATCCTTACTTTGACCAAATTGTTGGACATTTTGTTAAATTGTTGGTTAGTAAAAACCTTTTTGATTGTTTACCATCCTTGGACGGTATTTTATTCAGTAAAATATTTGTAAAAGAAAGAAGTAACTTTTATACGTGACTTATGTCAAGTTTTTACATAATTTATTTTTGAGGCAAATATGGCTTCTTTTTTTTTTTTTTTCAAAAGAGAAAAGTTTTCTAGATACTTTTGTATTTTCGTGTACGACTTTTTTTTTATGCATGCTTATTCATAATAAATATAATAAGTTTAAGAGGGGGGGGAGGAGAAAAAGATCAGGGTATATGTTTCAACATTTAAAACATAAGTTACGTTTATGATTCTTTAACTTTTCAGAGCCTCCAAAAAATTAACATAAAAGATACCTCAAATTTAAGTTGGAAAAAAAAAAAATTCTTATTTTTTTTTTGCCCTGTATAATTTTTTTTTTTTCGAGGGACGGTGAGGAAGCTGTAGTCTCTCTCTCAAGGGAATAATTAACAAAAAAAAAGGTCAATGAACCGTTGCGACAAGCAGAAAATGTTAATGAAGAATGCAAGTCGTAATCTTTTGACTTTTACCTCGCTTGTTGGGGTACATTTTTTAAACAAACGTATGCATGCAAAAACAAATATGACTTTCCTTCTTTAAGAGTAAAATTTTTTTTAAAAAAAATATTTTGTATTGTTCATGATAAAACAACATTGGATGATGAATATTGTTTTAGGCTCCAGAAAGGTCTTGGGCGGATCATCAGTGGGCTTTATGCGTATTAGACGATACGATCGAATACGGTGGACCTTCCTGCGTTAAATATCAGGCATATTTTTTACCAGCTATTTTATCTTACATTCAGGATCAAAGTCCAGACGTAAGACAAGCCGCAGTTTACGGTTGTGGTGTTTTGGGTCAATTCGGTGGAGCTTCCTTTGCAGGTTTGTGCTGTTTATTATTTTTATTTTCTTTTATTCTAACCGCACATTTTGTATTTTCATATATTTAAATTCATTTAAAAATTTTTATTTTAGGTTTTTGTGCGGAAGCTCTTCCAAGATTAGTTGAAGTTATAAACGATGCTGAATCAAGATCAAAAGAAAATATAAATCCAACTGAAAATGCTATTTCAGCTGTTACGAAAATATTAAAACATAATTCTTCTAGTATAAATGTCGACGAAGTATTGCCGCATTGGTATTTGTATTTTCATTATTTTTTTTTGCTCTTATTTAAACACCCCATTATTTAGTTATTCAGTATCCAAATCTTTTTTTTTTTAGGCTTTCGTGGTTGCCAGTTTGGGAAGATTTAGACGAATCTCCACACGTATACGGATATTTATGTGATCTTATACAGTCTAATCATCCAGTCGTGCTTGGAAATAATAATTCTAATATTCCTAATTTAATAGCAATATTTGCTGAAGCATTTTGCAGGAACGCTTTTACACCGGAGGATGAAATTGCTAAAAGAATTTTATGTATTGTTAGACAAATTCAGGTATATATATATATATTAGTTAATTTATTAGTCTTATCATATTTTTTATGTTTTTTTTTTTTTCTTCTTCTTTCTCTAGACAAACGAAGAACTTTTTAAAGCGTGCTTGCAGCATTTAAATTCAGATCAGCAAAGAGCTTTACATATGGCTCTTGTATCTTCGACATCATAGCCTTGTTAAAACGTTATTTAGTTTTACGACGAATCTAAATAATTAACAATTTTTATTATTGTAGTAGTCGGTTGTTTTTTTTTTTTTTTAAAAAAAAAAAAAAAAAAAAAAGAAAAGAAACAAACAATTTCTCATGAAGAAATACACGACTCGATTTAAATTATTAACTGAAGCATTGATTTTTTTTTTTTTCAAATGACTGGAAAATAATTGCTTTTGTATAACAAAAATTTATGCTATTAAAGCCTTAAATTAATTTTATACAATTTTTAAAGTAGTTATTTATTAACAAATTAAATATTTAAACATATATTTTCCGGATCCCAATGTGATAATTTACAACAAATTTTAAATTTAAACACATTTTAGAATTTTTGATAAAATTTAAAAAAAAAAAAAAAAACTACTTAACATTCATTTAAATTGTTCTATTAATATAATAATTAATATTTTCTTTAATTAAAATTTTTGGCATTAAACAAAAAAATTTATGAAAATTTTTTTAATATGTTTTTTGTATTAACAACTGAACTTGTGACAAAAATTTATTTATTCAAAAGTTTTTTTTTTTATCTTTGTTCAGAAAATATAAAACTTAGCAAAAATTAATTTAAATACAATTGCTGTAAGATCAAAGTGTATAAAAATATTGTTTTTTACAACAAACTGACAAAAAAGAAAAAATTATACCAACAATTGAGATTGAATACAAAAGTGCCAGTCATATTTTTTGTCAGCAAAAAAAATTTCATTGTTAAATTCAGTATTTAAATTTACTCTAAAAACAGAATTAACTACAATTTTGTTTTATATTGCTATATTTTTAAAACATTTACAAAGGTGAAAGTTTTCAATTTTTATAATGAATAAACAAATAAATAATAATGATAATTTTTTAATTTGGACAACTAAGGCAATTAATGAATTTATACATTAAACAGCATTTTTAAATTATTTCAAGAATAATTGAGAAATTTTATCTAACTAAGATTGTTAATACATTTAGGTCTTTTTTTCTTTTTTTTTATTTGTATTTAATATTTATATTATAATTAAAACATTAAACATAGCCATCCTAGTATGAGACAAATTCCTCCGAATGGTGTAAGCTTTCTAAAATCTGTTTTTTCTGTGCATGCATTATAATAACAAGTTCCACAAAATAAAATCATTCCAAGTGTAATAAAGGTACCCGCCTAAAACGGTAAAATTTTAAATTATGATTAAAAAAATATTTTTAATTCAAATTACATAAAAATAGGTGCCTCAGGATTTAACAAAAACTTACAGCATTTGGAAATCTACAAAGAGGAACTCCTAATAATGCTAGTGAATGAATAAAATGATAAGTATTAGCTGTGTGATAAATTCTTTTTTGTTCCTCATATCCTGCTTTAGTAGAAATACCTGAAAGGAATTTATTCACCTTAAAAACATATTTAAAACATGTACTCCTTACTAAAATATAAATATTTAAGTTTACTTTAAACTAGAACTTGACATCTACCGGCAAAGATTTACATAATCAGAACTGAGGACTTACAATGTGCTCCATATGCACCTAGAATAACTGCTGTTGCTCCAGATAATCCAGCCAACTGTACAAAATGATTACCAGATAAAACCAACCGAGACACAGGTAGATTAACAATAGCAGGTGGTAATTTTGTTGCTGCAGTTGAAGAATTACCTAATGAAACTACTGCACTGCCCTAAAAAAAAAAACTTAAGTTTAGTTTGATGTGTATTTCTTAAAAAGTAATAAAAAAAACTTTATACTTGCATAACAATCAGAAAAATGAATGAAAAGATCAAAATTAAAAACAAAAAGTTCTCATAAGGTGAAAGGATCTAAACATGCAACATACTGCATTATTACTGATTTAAACGCAATTTTGATATCGATCAATAAAACAAATATATATATACATATATATATTTATTTATTAATTGCAAATTTAATAATCTTGGATGAGATAAACTGAAGAAAATATTGGAAATATCAAATAATTTAAATTTTACCAAATTTTTAACGGAATCAACGAGAACGGAAGATACAGGGTTCTTGACCAAAACAGAATACATATCATCATAAACACCCATTTTATATAAATATTATTCTTGAAAAATATAAATATACAATAATCTAAATCTATTATTAAATTTTGAAACAAAGATGGCCGAATTTTAAAGTACAGAAGTTTTTAAAAAGATTTAGAAACAATCGCAAGTAGGGCTATGACGTCAAGGTCCTAAAGTAAATTGTGATTGGATAAAGATAGTTAGTGTTAGATTGTGGTGGAGTAAAATTAAAATAAGAATTTTTGATTTAAGAGCCGTACTGCATGAACGAAATTTATCTGAAGTTGGCGAGCAAGATTGTGAGGTAATTTTTACAAATTAAATCTTTAAACTCAGTGTTTGTTAATTGCTTAATTAGTTAAAAATTTATTTTCATTGGAAAAAAAAAAATTTGTAAAAATTTACTGAAGCTGTGATATTAAACAAAATGGTGGACATAATTTCCTGGGCTAAAATTTCTAATGTTTGTTTATATTTAAAGGGATATGCATCTAAACTTTTTGTATCCCGTAAATATTGTTACTAGAATTAGTTTGTGTTTTGCTGCTAGTTTTAATTTTAATGACATCATCGTCTAAGGCAGAGTTACACATTGTTATAAGAGCTAATAAACAGCTGATCGCTTTGTGCTTGTCCAGTCGCGTCTCCCCTCCATCTCTTTGTATTCCGCCATCTTGAGTCACTTCTATGTACTTAAAGAACGATAACGTTGTTTAAATTTAGTAAAGCTAGTTAAATTAATTTTTCTTTTTTTCTCCAAGTTTGAGATTTGAAATATTAATATATGTATACATACATATATCATTGTTTCATTCATTATATTTGACTAATAAAATAACAGTAATATTTCAAAAAAAAAAAAAAATTATCTTTTTTATACCAAGATAATTCTGTAAGTGTAATTTGAAGGATATATATTATAAAAGTAAACTTATGTTTATTGAAATAGGCAATAATAATTTATTTTAACTCGTTTCATTTATATACTCATACTCAGAACATATTGTGATTATTACGCTACTATATATACGCTTAAAAGTTATAATTTTATTAACAACGTCAAATTTGTGGATGCTGTATTAAAAAAAAGCTATCATTCATATCATGCATTGTGTAAATTTATTATATATTTCTAATACTTATTAATTAATACTTTTACTCGAAACTTATAGGATATATTAAACATAAGAATTACTGTAATTATGTGAATTTAATATTATTATCTTTACATGGTGCAATTGTGTGTGTGTATGTATGGGTTTATGATAGGTAATTATTTAGATATTTAAAATTATATTTTTGGCATTTTGCTATGTTATTGGTATTTTAAATTTAATTTTGAAATTTTTAATTGTTAAATTATTAATTAAAAATGAAAATTATTATAAAATTATAATTTCATTTAAAAAAATTTTTTTTCAATATTTATTAATGCATCAAGTAAATTTTTTTTTTCTTTTATTGTTATGATAATTATTACATGCTACTTTTAGGTTTTAATTATATTTTTTTTTTAAGGTTAATTACTTTTGAAAAAGCTTAAAAAATATGTAAAGTATACAAGCTTAGAATATTTAAATTATATGAGTAATAAGCAAAAGTTTTTTTATTCATTTTTGCATTAACAATTTTATAGGAAAACATAAATGTTCTACTATACACACTCGTTAAGAATTATTCTTAGGGCTGAAAGTTGATAATTTAGATTAATTTAAAAGCATATGAAAAAATAATTTAATTATTTATTTAATTAGAAATGTTTTTTTTTTTAATATTATTAAAGTAGATGCATTTTTTTTTACAGATGGTAATTTCATTGTTAATAAATTGCAATGTTTGCCATATTTTTATGTTTATTAAGAATGATGCTCATTGTGTTTTTTTCTAAACATTATCTAGCATATTTGTCTTTTTTCGTTTTAAAATGTTTTAAAAAAAAATTTTTTTTTTCGAAACAAAATTTTAAAAAGCATAAATATGTAAATAAGTACAAAAAAAAAATTTTTTTTTTTTTTTTATTGATTAATGCTTAATCATATAGTATTTTCATCGGTTTTGTTTTATTCGATTGTGCCAATTTTTTTTTTTTTTTTTTTTCTTTTTTTTTTTTTTCTTTTTAAGGAAAATTTGTGGCATGATTGAGTCGAAGCATTGCGTCTATGGCCGAGAAAGATAATCGTCGGAGCGGGGGGGATTCGCTTGAGCGCCACTCTAGCTCCAGGAAAGCCTCTCGGCATAAGGACGATTATGTAAGATATTTATATTGTACCGACTGCTGATTACGAATTAATTATGATTTGCTTTTGGTAAAACACATTGAAAAATTTATTTGGAAAATTTAATTGTTAAATAAAACATTTAAGTGAAATGTTTATTTAGTTGACCGAGCCAAACCTCACCAGCAAAAGAGGTATTCGTCGTAAAACTTTATCTGCCACGGTTGATGAACCTTTTGGTCTACCTCGTTCCAAAAAAAGAAAAGTTGAGGATCAGACAAGTGCTAACTTACAAAACAGTAAGTAAATTAATATGTGTCTTTAAGTTTTAATTATTATTATTATTATTATTATTTTTCAGAGCAATGGGATAAATAGTTATATGTTACTTTTTAGTATAAACTTAACCTCTAAAAGGAAAACTTTTATCATTTACAAAAAAAAAAAAAAAGATGAAAAGTTGTTTTAAATATTATTATTTATTAATGATTTATATTTAAGAAATAACTGAATAAAATATATATTATTTAATTAATCATTATACTGCTATGTGACTTGTTGTTTGTTATGTTTAAACTTATTTTAATTTGTTTTATTTATAAAAAAAATTAACTTGTTCTGTTTTATAATTAGTATTATAAGAATCATTAAAAACTATTATGATCTTGTAATGTACCAGATATATATATATATATGTTAATTAGTAAATATTTTTTTTCTTTAGGAAAATTAGATAAAAAAGTTGCAGGAAAAGGAGAAGGAAGTTGTTTAAAAGAAAAAACAAGCGGAACCAAATCGCATTGCAAAAAAAATTATTGGATAATAAGTGAGCAAACGAAAAATTACAGTGCAAGTACATCACCAAATAGTGTTAAAATAAATAAAAACAATAACGTATTTATATTAAAAAGTGGATGTAAAAAAAATAATTCAAATTCTGCGAATGAAAAGTCAAAATTTGAAGAAACAGAAAAAGGTACCATCATTTTGGCATAATTTATAAAATTCATAATTCATAACAATAGTCCAATTACAAAACAGCAACGTTTTTAACATCATTCTTAATTTTTAAAAAAATAAATGTTTAATGTTTTTTTTTTTTTTAAATGTTAGAATTAAAGGAAAAAGTCAAAAGCAAGCCTAAAACAAATCGAGGAAGAAAAGAAAAGAAAAAAGTTTTTCATTCAAAGGAAGAGGAAAAAGGAAAATTAATTAAAGCTCCTAAAGCTACTAGTTCTACGGATTTACCTATTCCCCTGTTAGAGCAAGGTACGCGTCAATCAATTTCGATTTTCAATAAATTAATTTTTTTATATCGAAATTAATAAAAAAATTATACGTTAATGCCTGATAATTTTGAATATAGGAAATAATCGGATCTACGCCTTAAGAAATCAGGTACGTCTTGATTCGACAGGAGCATTAATTCCATTGTATCCTCCGTCCAGAGCAGAAATAGCTATCGCACAAGGTCGTAAACCATTCATTCCTAAAAGAACAAAAGTGCAAGCTACGACAGCTTGGAGTAAGAGTTTTTCAATTTTTTTATTTTGATTATTATTATTATTATTATTATTTGTCCTCAATTTATTAGTATTCTCTTTAACTTTAATTTTTATTGATTATTGCTGTGAATAGTAACCATTTTTATTTTAATTATTTTAAAATATGTAAGAAAGAAATTTTTGGAGATATTAAAAAAAGGCAGAAGTAATAGTTGTTCTTGATAAGGCAATTTTTAAAATATAATTTAATTATTTTAAAGTTTACTGCTTAAATACATTTAGTACTTGATAAGAACAAAATTCATTTATTAAATAAATTCCTTACATGATGAAAAAATTTAAAAATATAAAATAGAGTTTTTAAGGTTGAGAGCTTTAGGTTCAAATTTCTAATTTAAAAATTTTTTCTGAAATCAATACTTTTTATTAAAAAAAAATTTTGTTTTTAGAAGTTACAGTGGAGGCTAATAAATCGGAGGACAAAACGGATAATCAGAAGTCACCGGAAATCACTGTAGGCCCGCAAATTCGGGTAACCTTGCGGCGAAGCGCTCGCAGCAAGCACAACACGGGGTCTTGCGCTAGCACCAGGTAATGAAGTTTATCCAAGTGTGAGCTTTATTTTGTTGTTACAATTTAGCTGAACAAATTCCATTAAAAATTTTAGTAGCCGACGCTCATCCCGAGCTGGGAAAGTTGGAGCAGGTTCCAGTTGGGCGATGATGTCGGCTGGCCAGGGCCCTTCCACTGCTTCTTCTCAGGGACCATCTACATCGGATGAAACCGTCCCTCCGACTACAACATCATCGGTCGGCGCTTCCGGTAAGTTTTTTTTCTTTACACTTAAAATTTAGTATTTAATGGATTCATTAATTTCTTTTTAAATAGCAAAAGTGTTAAAAATTTCAACCAAGGTCCTTATGTTCATTGTCCTTAGAATATAAAGAAATTCATTCTTCGGCCTTCACTGAGTTTTTTTTCGGGCAGACATTATCTTCACATAAAACGGTTAATGCACGAGATCCTTTAACTTTGCGTGTGCCCCAAACCTCTGAATGTTGCAGGACTGGTTTCTTTGAGCCTACTTGCCAAAACAACGTTAGTGGCAAGACTGCCAGGGTAAATTTGAAGTCGTTAGAACGGGGAAAGGAAAGAATTCAGGATAAAAATTATAGGTATTAAATCCAGCGTGTTCCTTGCGAAAGTAATTGGAGGGAAAATAAATATATATATATATATATATATATATATATATATATACCTTGATCAATTTAATAACCGTTAATTAAGGCACAAAATTTTAAAAACATTTACCATTATTTGGATATTTTACTTATTGAATACAAATGCAAAGGAAAAAAAATGAAGTATTTAGCTCTTTAAGTTACTCTAACTTAAACTAAACCAAAATTTAAAATTGATTTTGAAATGACTTTTATTTTGAAGTATATTTTTAAGAATAATTATTTAAAATATCGTTTATTTTTGTTAAAATAGTCACGTGATAAAAAATTAGATCGTTAAAATCCGTCATTTATTCAACTAAAATAATTTTTCCTTTTTTTTAAAATAACTTTTGTTCTTGTAAATTTTGGTTATTAGTAATATTAGAAAATTCAAATTTTTTAAAATTCTTTATAATTATTTCAATTTATTCAGTTTTGGGATACCGGTAGAAAATGAAGACTTGAAATTAAAGCCATGTAGTTATTTGAGAGAAAATAATAAAAGAAACAAAGAAATTATAAATTTTCAAAATGAAAATGAGGAAAAATTTAAAAATTCAAAAATATGTTTTTCTAAAGCTGAGACTCTCGCTAAAGAAAAAATTAATAAAATAAAAATTTCTGAAAATATTGATCTTTCTCGGGGGAAAAAAAATAATGATTGGGAAATAAATGCTGAGCCTTCTACTAGCAGAGACTCTGGAAAATCTTGTATTCAATTGCCACTTTCAGATACGTTTTTTGTTGATTTTTCAGGTAACCCCCCCTTAATTTCCTGTTTCTTTCCTTTTCCTTCTGCCAATATTAAACATTTTTTTTTAAAAATACATATCATTATTATTAATTGCACAGTTAATAATAAAATTCTCATTTATTATCATAAATAAAAAAAAATTTAAAATTTTTTACTTTGATAGCTTCTGCTTCTGGCACAGCGACTGTCCGTGAATCATACGATTTGACTTCTGAGAGTGACGACAATAATGAAGTCGGCCGTTTGCAAGCTCTTCTTGAATCTCGAGGTCTTCCACCTCATTTATTCGGAGCTTTGGGACCTAGAGTGCAACATTTTTTGAATAGGAACATGGGTGTTAGCTCTTGTGAGTTGAAAAGATTTTTAAAAAAAATTTATATACAGAATTTTCGTTGCTGATTATATCAATCAATCACTTTAAATATGTCATTCGCATTCTTTTTTCTTCTGTAGTATCTAAAGCCCAACAATTGTTACAAGGACTGCAAGCTACTGGAGATGAAAATCAACAACTTCAAGCTGTAATTGAAATGTGTCAAATGTTAATTATGGGAAACGAGGATACGTTAACAGGTTTTCCCGTTAAAGAAGTCGTACCTGCCCTTATATCATTAATGTCCGTGGATGAAAATTACGTTATCGTAAGACGAAGATTATTTTTTTTTTATTTTCTACGAAAAAAAAAATATTAAGGTTTGGTTCGTGAAAATCAAAAATTTAAATTTTGTTCCAGATGAACCATGCTTGTCGAGCGTTAACGTATATGATGGAAGCTCTACCAAGATCTTCGGCTGTTGTCGTTGATGCTGTACCTGTTTTTTTGGAAAAACTTCAAGAAATTCAGTGTATGGACGTAGCCGAACAAAGTTTAACTGCTTTAGAAATGCTTTCAGTCAGGCACAGCAAAAGTATTTTGCAAGCGGTAAAAATATATATATATATTTAAAAAAAAAAAACATTGCACTCATAATAACTTTTGTTGCCAAATTTAATAATCGAAATTTTTTTTTTTTTTTTTTTTCCAGAGAGGAGTCGCTGCTTGTTTAAAATATTTAGATTTTTTTAGCCTGGGAGCTCAACGTTCTGCTCTCGCTGTAACTGCAAATTGTTGTCAAAATCTACATGTTTTGGAATTAAATTATGTGTCAGATTCGTTGCCTATTTTAGCTTCCCGTCTTACGAGGGCAAGTTTTTAAATTTAGTATTATTTGGACAAATTTATTCGGGCGCAATAATTTTTCACTGAGCTTTTTTCTTTTAGCAGTCAGACAAAAAATGTGTTGAAAGCATTTGCCAGGCTTTTTGTCGTTTGGTAGACAGTTTTCAAAATGATCCGACCAAATTATTAGAAATAGCAAGTCCTATGCTTCTTACCAATCTTCAGCAACTTGTGAGTATACCTTATAGTACGTCATCTCACTTGTTTTACGTTCAATCGAAATTTACATGTCAATTAATTTTATTTCAGTTGGTAGAATCACCACCCGTTATTAGTACCAGCACTTTTATTAGCGTATTGAGAATGTTGACTCTTATGTGCGCTGTTTGTCCTGAATTATCTTTAACTCTTCTTAAGCAATGCATCGCTGATACACTTTGTTATCTTCTAACAGGATCCGCTGAAAAAAGTTCACATTTCGAAGTAATTTTTGAAAATTTTTTTGTTTTTTTTTTATAAGTTATATTTTACTCGTTTATATTTCAATTTCAAATTTATTTGTAGATTGAATTGGTTTCTCGAAGTCCCCAGGAGTTATATGAAATGACTTGCTTAATTGGAGAGTTGATGCCTAAGCTTCCAACGGACGGTATTTTTGCAGTTGAATGTTTATTAGAACGACCAAATAATTCTATATTGGATGCTGTACAATGGCAATGGAGAGATGAGCAAGGTCACTGGCATCCTTACGGTAGCTGGGATTCGAGAATGATTGAAGTAAAAAAAAATTATTTTTATAAATTTACAAATTGCATTGTTTGTTACTTTTGACTTAATATTATTATATTTCTTCAAAAGGTAGCTCATCAGAATGGAGAACCAGAAATTTTGTTACACTCTCGACATTCAACATATACAATCAATTTTCACGCTATGACGCAGATAAGTGAAGATTATGTAACTTCGTGGCCGATAAGAAGGAGGGTAAATCCTACAGCTGTTTTAGGTGGATCTCAGGATATAACATCTAATAATTATGTTGTTTTACTTGCTGAAAACACAAATGGAAATATAACTCCTGTTAATTCAAAGTAAACAATAAAAATAAATATAATCTTTAAAAAAATGTATTAAAAATATAAGCCTTAATTGTTTTGTTTTTTTTTTTTTTTTATATGAAATTTAGCGTTGGGATAACAAAAAATGCTAACGAAGAAAGAGAATTGGCTTCATCTTTTGTTCGCTCATTGTTTTCAACTTTGTACGAAGTTTACAGTTCATCAGCGGGACCAGCTGTACGATACAAATGTTTAAAAGCTTTATTACGAATGGTTCACTTTTCCTCTCCTGAGTTGTTAAAGGTATAACCAATATTTTATGCAGTTTTTTATAAATAAAAAAAGTTCTGATAAGATAAATCTTAAATTAAATTCATCGATTTCAAGTTGAGAGAAGAAAAAAAATTTTTTTGAAAAAAACGAAAGAATATTGTTTTATAATTATTTATATTCTATACTAAAACCTGTTACGAAAAAATTTAAAACCTGATATTTTATTTTAGGACGTTTTAAAAAATCAAATAGTATCAAGTCACATTGCTGGTATGCTCGCATCTCACGATTTAAGAATTGTTGTGGGAGCTTTGCAAATGGCCAACATATTAATGCAAAAATTATCAGACGTTTTTACAATTCGCTTTATGAGAGAAGGTATGAAATATATATTCAGTCGTATATAAATTGGCAATTGCATGTAGTAATATATCTTCCTTTCTTTTTTTGTCGAAACAGGAGTTGTTCATCAAATAAAACAGTTAGCTTCTGTTGAAAATGTAGCTGAAACTCCGCCATCTCTTCCTAATATTCCCACTCCTTCTACATCATCGTCGACTTCTCTTTCTTTTTCCCTTAATAACTCGAATATAAATGGAGCCCTAGTTCAAAATGATGATTATAATATGCCTAATGACGATAATTTTTATCAAAGTTCTTCACAGTTGTAAGTTTTTATATTATAGTGTTTTAACATGTGCCGTGCAAAAAACCGCTTATTTCAAGTATTTTATTATTATTATTATTTTTTTTAAAGAAAATTGAGTGATGTTTTGTCTCGTAAGAGAAAATCAAAAAGAGGAACCGTTGCGGCAAATAGATCTAAAAACAAACACGAGGATTCTTTACCTTGTTCAATGGTGCAAGATATTATTAGCAAAGCTACTTCTTTGGGTACTTCAGGAAGATCAACTCCAACAGGTACTTCTAGAAGTAGGTTTTCTAGTGCTGGATCTAAAACAACGTCTTTTCTGGCAAGTTTAAATCCCGCAAGGTGGGGTAGATCTCTCAATAATAGTTCAAGTCTTGGAGAACGTCATTTTTCAAAGGTAAAACTTTCAAGGTGTAAAATAAATTATTGTTTATCTAATCAATTTTTTTTAATGCTTTTTAAAAATTCATTAAGATAAAAAAAAATTAATATTAAATAGAAAAACAATAATTGTTTCTTGTCGGTTTAAATAACTTGATTTTTTTTTTAGGACTCCGCTTTATCAAAATCACCTAGCAATTCAAATTTAACGGCAGGAAACAAAGAAAAAATTCGATGTTGGATTCGTGAAACGGCTTCAAAATTTATCGAAGTTTATTTTTCTGAGGAAATAACATGTCAGCTTCCTGCCGCGGACGTACTTTTCAAGTTAACTCAACTAATAAGAAAATTGCAATCCTCAGATTTAAGAAATGAAGGATTGCCTGCTTTAAAAGAATTATGTGATATTTTAAAAGAGTCTGACATTTCGCCTTTTGAAGTTAACCACAGTGGTTTGGTTGAGGCTCTTCTTGAATTTTTAACTAATGAAAACGATGGGAGAAGAGACTCGTGCCTTCGAGGTTTTCTTCATATTTTTGCGGGTTGCCCAGTAAGTTATTAATGTAATTTACATTCTTTTTTTTTTTTTTTTTTTTTTTAAAAACAATTTTTTTTAACTCGTCTTATTTTTTTTTATTTTTAAAGCTGGAACGAAATGGTTCTGTAGATAGTATTAATAGTAATTGCTTATCACTATTAGTATCAAAATTAAATAGCTGTGTATCTCAAGTGGAACAGTTTCCGGTAAAAGTTCATGACTTGCCCATAGGAGCAGGCGGTGCAAGAGGCGGAACTAGTGCTTTGAAATTTTTTAACACGCATCAGCTTAAGGTAAATTTGAAAAAAAAAGAAAATTTTTTTTTTTTTTTAAATTTACCAAATTTATAAATTGCGCCAATAAAAAATTTGCATACTTTTTAGTGTAATCTACAGCGTCATCCTGATTGTACAAATCTAAAACAGTGGAAAGGTGGCTCTGTAAAAATAGATCCCTTAGCTTTGGTTCAAGCTATAGAAAGATATTTAATAGTTCGAGGTTACGGTCGTATTCGAGTTCAAGATTCTGGAGAATCTGATGATGATAATTCTGAAGATGATGACATAGACGATACATTAGTAAGAATATTTTTTTATTCTTAAAAAATTAATTTGTTTCCTATTACAATCAATTGTATTTTTTTTCGTTTTCAGGCCGCAGTTGTGATTTCACAAGGAACTTCTCGACATCAACTTCAATTTCTAATAGGAGATCATGTATTACCATATAATATGACGGTAAATTATTATAATAATATGATTAATTTTTTTTTTTTTTTGTTTTCATGTGAATAATTTAATTTTAATTTTTTTTTTTTTAGGTTTATCAAGCAGTTAGACAGTTCACTAATTTAAATAGCACCGATCAGTCAGAAACTGATACAGATACTGAAATGCCTTTAGGACATTCCAGTGTTTGGGTTCAAACTCATACAATTCAGTACAGGCCCGCGCCCCCCAGTGTTGGTCCTCTAAACGTTCAAAGTAATAGAAAACACAAAGGTTCCGTTAATAAATCGCATGGTAAATCTGATCATTTGTGGAATGGTAATTTTTAAATATCTAAAAACATTTTTCAAAACTTATTTTATCGTAATTTAAAAAATTATAAATATTTATTAATATTATCATAAGTTTCAGAACCAAAAAAAAAAAAAGTAAGAAAGAAAGAAAGTAATATTAAAATGTTATTTTTCAGATGGATCTGTTCCAGCCTTACATTCTTCTTTAGTTCCTTTTTTAACTAATAAACTGCCAGATAATGTTACGATTCAAGACTCGTCTCTTCAAGTTTTAAATCTTCTTCGGGTCCTTCACGCTCTTAGTCGTTACTGGGGAACTTTATACAATGTCACATCTTATTCTGAACTATTGCCTATGAGTTGCTTTGTCAATAATAAAATATCAGCTAAAACTAGTAGACAGCTTCAAGATCCTTTAGTTATAATGACTGGAAATTTACCTATCTGGCTTCAACAAATAGCTATGTCGTGGTAATTTTCCATTTCATTAAATTCCATAACTTTATAACAACAAATTTTTTTATGTTATTTTAAATTTTTTTCTTTTTTTTTCAGCCCATTTTTGCTTCCATTCGAAACAAGGCAGCTTCTTTTTTATGCAACTTCTTTCGATCGAGACAGAGCACTTCAAAGATTATTGGATGCCACTCCAGATCTTAGTTCCTCGGATAGCGCGGAAAGAGTTACTCCTAAATTAGATCGTCGCAAAAGGACAATATCTAGAGACGATATTTTAAAACAAGCGGAATTAGTAATTCAAGATTTGGCTTCCAGTAGAGCTCTTTTAGAAGTTCAATACGAGGATGAAGTGAGATAAAAAATAAATTTGTTTTTTTAACAACTCCTTACTTGCTCTTTCTTTTCTTTTTATAATAATAATAATGTTATTTTTAGGTTGGTACGGGATTGGGTCCCACATTAGAGTTTTATGCACTTGTTTCAAGAGAGCTTCAAAGAGCAGATTTGGATTTATGGGCCGGCGATAAGGCTGTAGGTCCCGAAGGAGTCACATATATAAATGCTCATCAAGGCCTGTTTCCAGCTCCCCTCTCTCGTTCTTCTAAATACACACATACATACCTTACTAAAATTAAGTCTAAATTTAGGTTTTTGGGTAAATTTATGGCTAAAGCTGTTATGGATTCAAGACTGGTATGTGCAAAGAAAACCCGATTATTTCATTAATAATTGAATATAATTTTTTTAATTAAAAATTATTATTATTATTATTTCACGTTTCAGTTGGATTTACCTTTTAGCCTCGTTTTTTATCGATGGCTGTTGGGTGAAGAAGGATCTCTGCATTTACCTGATTTAGTTTATGTAGCTCCTCAAATTCATCAGACATTAGCCAAACTGCAAAGTTTTCTTTGGCGGAAAAATTTGCAAAAAAATTTAACTGACTGTGATGAAATCGGATGCCCTATTGAAGATTTATGTTTAACATTCACCGTTCCCGGTCACGCAGACCTCGAATTGAGAAAGGGTGGAAAAGATATTTTAGTTACTGAAGAAAATCTAGACCAGTATATAAAAGTAATTTTTTTTCTCTCTCTTTTTTTTTCACTAAATTAAATTTGTAAAAAATATTTTTTTAAAATTTAAAAAAAAATGTATATAATTATAGTTGGTATGCCATTGGTTATTAGTGGAAGGAGTTAGTCGTCAAATGGAAGCTCTTCGTGAAGGTTTTGAAGCTGTTTTCCCTCTGCAACAACTTCACATGTTTTACCCAGAAGAGCTGGATGCTGTTTTTTGCGGTTTAGGAGAGCAGCTAGGTAATTAAAAACAATAAAAAAATATTTATTTTTCATACTGGTTTGAAAATGTTTTAATTTAAAATATTTAATTATAGGATGGGATGTAAAAACTTTGTCCGAATGTTTCCGACCTGCTCATGGATACACATTAGATTCCAAAGCTATTAGGTTCCTTTTCGAAGTACTCAGCAGCTACAATGCGACTGAACAACGACTGTTTCTACAATTTGTGACTGGATCTCCAAGACTTCCAGTGGGAGGTTATTATTATTATTATTATTTTTTTTCTAATTTCAATTCCGAGTAAAGTAACGAGTGTTACGAGTGAAAGAATTTTGATTAATTTTCAGGTTTCAAGAGCTTATCACCGCCATTAACAGTAGTTAGAAAAGACGTGGAAGGCGAAGCTTCTTCCGATAACTTCCTTCCAAGCGTAATGACTTGCGTTAATTACCTCAAGCTGCCTGATTATTCATCGGTAGAAATAATGAGACAAAGGCTCAGCATTGCCGCTAGAGAAGGTTCACATTCTTTCCACCTCTCCTAGTCTTATAATCAAATGTATAATGATTTTAAAATTTTTCAATCAAATTTTAATTTCCAAAGCTTTGGTTTATTCATCTTGCAAAAAAAAAAACAAAAAAAAAAAAAAGAAAAAGAAAAAAAAAAGGAAAAAAAAACATGATGATAATAATAATAATAATAATAATAATGATGATGATGATTATTTGCCCATTAAAAAAAATGAATCAATCGCATACTCATATTTTTTGTTAAAAATGAGTTTAATCAGTAAAGTTACTGATACATACATATATATATATATATATATATATATATATATCTTTACCAAGAAATTTTATTTAATAATTTGTTTTATTAATATCATTAATATTTTTTTTTCTTTTTTTTTTTTTTTTTTTTTATTTAAGAAAATAAAATCATAATTAAAATAATACTACCAGGTTCGATCTATAAAATTTGCTCTATGAGTACATATCTGTATTTATTTTTTTTTATTTTGTATTTTTTTTTTTTTTTTTTTGTTTTTCAATGGTCAATAAATAAATTTATTTATGGAATCAGAGCAATAAAACATAATAAGTGATGTATAATGAAAAAAATTAGGGTTAAGATAATAATCGGATTAAAAAAAAAAAAAAAAATGTCGGACTGGTTGAGTGTGTAAAATAAGCCTTATAAACATAGAATAATGTTGGATGATGCTTATTCGACGTTTACGGCAATAATAATAAATAGAAACATAAATTTTACTACTATATTAGTTATTTTTTTTTTTTTTTCTTTTTTTTCTTTTTTTTTTTTTTTTTGGCATACTTATTTTCTATTAATTTTTTAATAAAAAAAAAATAATAATGATAATAACCTTTATACGGCTAGTAAAAATTCAAAATTTTAAAATAATATTATTATATTTTTTTTCATTATTAACATTAATTGTTTATTTATTTTTATTTATTCCATAAGGTTTTTTTTTATATTTATCTGTTAAAAATGATTGATTCAACTCTATTGACGAAAAAATTGATATTAACAATATTAATTTTATAAATAAATACCATCTTGAAATTTGGCGGCTTTTTGGGTTTTATTCCGACATTAAATATTAGTATTAAATAAGGCCTATACTATAAATTTTAGTTTTTGTTTTTTCAAGGTTGGTCATGCTGTCGTAAATCGTAAAATGAAATTTTCTTACCTACGGCAACGTTTAAAGAAGAAATTATGTCTTAAATTTTATACTGTTGTGCTCAATAAAAGGTAATTTTTATTTTATTTTCACAAATTAAAAAAAAAAAGTAATGAAAACGAGGTTATAAGATGTCGTTAAGTGATTTTTAGTTTTTAAAAGTGATAATGTTCGAATTATTGTCTTGAATATGTTCCAACGGACGAGTCATAACCGTTAAGGTATTACTATTGCACATCTTATTTTTTTAATTAAAAACCAAAATGATTACCCTATTATTTAATATTTTTAAATAATATAATTTTAATTTCTTTGATGTGGATATATATATATATCAATTTTTTCAAAAATATTTATTCATGCAAGCGTAAAAAACATTTTAAACTTACCGCTCAGGCCATAGAGATAATAATAGTTTTTAATGGTTTCACTATTTTCACTATTTTCCACGAAAATTTTTTTCAAACTTTTAAAATAAAAAAATAAAGTTTAAATTATTTTTAAATCTAGTGAAAAGTTAAAATACGTTATATAAGCATCAAATTTCTTCTCATTGTTTGTCAGCCATTAAAAAAAAAATTTGCTTTTCTTACGTTTTTGCTTCAGAGTGAAAAAAGCAGACGACAATTTCATGTAAAAACCCGCCAAATTTTAGACTCTTATTTGTAAGACATTTTCGTTAATTGAGAGTGTATACATATATATTTTAAAAAATTTTTTGATTGTTATAATTTTATTTCATCGAAATATGTCTAAAACTAAGTCTTCTTCACAAAATTTAATAACCAACTCTCATACAAAAATTAGTTTAATGTTAATTCAAAGTAAGTTTATCATATTATATTTTACTGTTAGTATTTGACTAAAGAAGAGAGTTTTGAATTTTTATATTAAACTATTGCTTCAACTAAAATTAATATCCATCATTTTTTCTGTCTGAATATTACACATAAATATAGATATATTAATAAATAATCGTTTTGTTTTTTTTTCTCCTCTCTCTGTTTCCAGATAGTGCAATGAACACACCTGCCAATATTGTCAAATTAAAACATCCAAGAAGTGGAAAGGAAGCAACATATCTTTTCACAAACAATAATTCTGTCGTAAATGAACTTTTTTTATTTTCTGACTCCAAATCATGTTTTTTAAATGATAATGTTATAGAAAAAACTAAATTGTATTTTTCAACGCCAATAGATCCTTTATTTTTAGTTTTACCTTATTTAAAAAAGTATTATGATGATAGAAAAGCAGTTCCCATTGAAGATTTGTTTGTCGATCAAATGTTTCCAGATGCTTACAGACTCCTACAATCAATAGAAGGTGCAAATATGGATTTTATTGCCGATAGAAAAGGCTGGTATATTTGAAACATTTAAAAAATTAATCGAAATAAAATTTTTATCGTAATATTTAAATGAAAATTTTTTTTATTAGGGTCAGAAGATTTAAACGTTTGGGCTTATAATAATGAAAAAACAATGAATTGGCTTATTAAAAAAGTAGAAAAATTGGTCAGTTTTTTCAAAGTTAAAATTTCTTCCTCGAAAAAAAACTGTTTAACTGAAAAGAATCACAATGATGATAAATCGTCTTTTGAAAAAATCGGTGAGTGTTAAAATATAAGTAAATTAATCATTATAGTTATCTAGCAAGAAACGAGCAAATAAGTAAAAAATTTTATTTTATTTCAGACAAAAGTGTTTTATTGAAGAATGCATATGAACTAATCTCTGAATATATTGCTGAGGATTTGAGTTCACAACTTTTTTTTAAACTAGGATTATCATCCAATGATCATTCAGATGTGAAAAAAAGAAAAGAAACCGAAAAGCCTGATGAAAATATTAAAAAAAAAATGAAAACCAGCATGTAAAATCCATTTAAATTTTAGGTATTTTATTTTTTAATTACATTACATTTAAAATAATTGACCTATTTAAAATTCAATTTTAAAAAAAATGGATTTAAATTTGTGAGAACGTTAATATCCGTTGTTAAATTTTTTTCTTTTATTAATTAGTTATTTAAAATTTTTCTTCTGCGCCTGTCTTTTTTTTTTTTTTTTCATCTTCCCTCTTTTTTTAAAATTACAAAAAAAAAAAAAAAAAAAATTAATTCGTTTATACGTGGTCTGTTGTAAAAAAGCAAAGGTTTTAATCTTTTTCATTAAATAATTTTTACTTAAGTGAATATTTTTTTTTAAAAAGAAAAAAAAGTAAGTTAAAAGTTTATTTTTTTGTTTATAAACTTGAGAAATTTACTTGGTAAAAATAATATATATTTTAATGAAAAACGTTAAACTTAAAAATGTTTTTCCGATTGCTAGTTATTATATATATTAGGACAAGTTTTTCAATTCGCGTTATTTTTTATTTTAATGTTAATAAAATTTATTTTATTTATTATTATGTATTATAGTTAACAACGAATATTATCAAGGTCACAGATTTATTTTTAATTATTTTTTAAATTAAATTTTAAAAGTATTTTAAATAAGAAATAATGAATGAATGTATCGTTTTATTATTCGTATGTGTTTTTCGGTTTAATTTTATTTAATGGTTTATAGTTGTAAACGCTAAACAAAACTGGTTTTACAGATAATATGTAACTCTCCGTTATTTAATTACTTTAAAAAAATAATTTTCAACCATTTTAGTTAGACAGAAAAGTAATAATAAGGACGCATATACTCTCTCCATTTTCAAATTCAAATGTTAACTCTAACAATAAATATTTTTAGAGATAATTCCGAAAAAAAAAAAAAAGCGAATAAAAATCCAAATTTAATAATAAAAATGATTTTATTTATTGCATGTGAAAATATCACTTGTTTTTTTTTTATAAACAATTTAAAACACCATCATCACCAAATAATTTCAATCGATTATTACTAATATAATTTTTAAGTGCGAATGTCATGCAACATTTTCAATATTTTCAGATATAAATATTTTTTTTTTTTTTTTCTTATCGCTATCGATGAACATAAAATTTAATTTTTTTTTTTTTGATTTATTCCAGTTTTTGAAAAAAAAAAAAAAAAAAAGAGGGGGGGGGAGCAAATATATAACGATAAAAATCAAATCACGTATATTAAAAACTGAAAATTTAATTGTAATTTTTTTTTTTAATTTTTAGGGAGCCTCGGTAGGAAAAAAATGAAAATGAGTAATGAAAAATTACAATCACATTCGCAAAGTTTAGCACAAGTAACAAAAACCCTACAAATTGTTAAAAATTCATCTTTTTACGTAAAATCATCGAAATTGAAAAAATCCGATGGTAAGAAAGTCAAAATTTAAATTTAATTAAAACATGAAAACTTTATTATTATTATTATTATTTTTTTAAAACGATCGCCATTGAATATTTGAATAAATAATTTAATTTTTTCTATAATTTTAAAATAAAATAAAAGAAAAAGTATATTTTTGTAAATATGGATGCGGTACTGACACAAAATTTTAAAATAAACCCTGATTTTTTATTATTATTATTATTATTGCCGATTTCAATGATAAAATAACGTGCAAAGAAATAAAAATAATAATGATAATAATGATGAAATCTTTAAAAAAAAAGAAATTGATAGAAACATTTTTGTAGTGCAACAAAAACATTACAAGTGTAAATTATATTATTTCTCAAAATATTTTTCATAAAAGGTCGAATCATGTACGGAAGATTATTTAATCAAATACAAAAAGAACCAATTATTGAAGGTACTCCAATAACGGAAAAATTAGCCGTCGTAAGTAAAAATAAAACAATAAAATTTCTTTTTTTTTTTGTAAATTTAATAAAGTTAATAATTTTTGTTTTTAATTATAGGATCTTCGTCGTATTGTTTTTGGTTCATCTACGATTCCACCAAAAAGTGAATGGCTTAAAATGGGTTTTAATTATCATAATTCGAATAAAGAATTTTCATACGGGCTTAAAATCGTTCGTAATACGACTTCCGGTTTATTTTCCGTCGTTCAAGCTTATTTAATTAAATATTTTCTTTTTAATAAGAAAAAGAATCGAAATGTCGTACCCGAACAGTAAGTTTAATATTACGAAATGTTTATGAAATTAATAATATAGTTGTATCATCAAAATGTAAATATAATACAAAAAAATTTTATTAATTTTTAGATTGTTGAAACCGGATAAAGTGGAACAAGTAGAAGCACTTTGGACTTCTTTGTCTGATCTTTTATGGATCGTTGGTGAAAAAAAAAATTGCAAAATTTGCCTTCCTCGGTCTCCTCCATGTTTACAAAGTTCTTCTGATTATTTTTCTGATGGTTTAACCGAACGCGTAAATTATTTAATTTTTTCTTAAAGTTTTTTTTTATCGATACGTTTAATATTTGCATATTTTTATATTTTTATTTAGCTTCACATATTTGATTTTACAACACTCGAAGATTTACGAGCATTTCTCAAACGTTACATATACGTTGTAAGTTTTTTTAATTTATAATTTTAAAATTTTATTTTATTTTTTTTTTAATAATTGATTTTATATTTTAAAGTTTTTAGAAGAATCCGGTCCGGGAGCATTACTGATTCTTTACAGTGCTATTTTAACAAGGGGTATTTCACAAACGTCTGAAGATATGAAAACCGTCGGTTCTTGTTTTTTATCCGGTGAAGATGAGGGACTTAATTGCATAATAACGTTATTACTCACAGGAAGAGCGACTCCTTTCCTTCATAACGGTGTCGTTTACGTTGGGGACGAAGATCATTACGTAAATACAAGAACGAAAACTTGTGAGAATGTAAAAATGATAAAAATAAAAATCTTTATATATATATGTTTAGGCTATGGCCCAATGGGGAATCATGAGTAGAAGCGACATAGGTTTTTTATTGTATAACGATCGGGATGATTGTAAAATATTAAACGAATCAAAACAGCCCGGAAGTCGACTGAAAACACCAAATTTTCCCATATGGGTAACATTCAATTCTGGACATTATGGAGTTCTTTTCAACACCAATAGTGAGCTTTTGAGAAACTATCATGCGGAAAGAAGGTTTTCATTATTATTATTATTATTATTATTATTATTGATATTATAAATTTTCGTAAATTCGGACTTCGTGAAAAATAATTTTTTTTGTTTTTTTTTTGTAAGATTTGAATTGTATTATTATACGGTCGAAGGGAGTTGTTTGACAATGTCCGTGGATACCAGATACAAAAAATTTAATAAAGAAGAAGAAAATAATGATCGGGAAAAAACAGAAGATTTTCTATCAATTCCTCTTTCGTCCATAGAAAAACTTATACATACAAAGTATTTTAAAAAACGTTTGAAAAAAAAAAAAAAAGAAAAACTTGAATTTGAAATTTAGAAAAAAAACTTACAATTACGTTTCAATTTTTATCTTTTTTTTTCAGATGGGAAGATGCTGCCATTGTTTTTAAAGGAATCACATCACTTACGTAAATTTCAAGCAGTTTTCATCAATTTCAAATATATCTTATTATTACAAAAATAAAACCATGCTTTTTAGATTTTAATCAATCAAAGAAATATTATAATCAAATGCTTATAATTTACTATTATACTATATAAAAATATATTTGCTTTCATATTAAATAGTATATAATAATAAATTTTTTTAAAAAAAATAATCCTGTTGTTTTAAAACGAAAAAAAAAAATAAAATTAATTCAAAACAGTGGATTCCCTCCTAAAATCACAATTTTTCTCTCTAAAAACATCGAAAATTTTGGCCAAATGTATCAGAAAAACATAATACCCAAGGAGGTATAGAAAAAAATAAAATTCAAACAATGGATTCCCGCTTAAAATAAAATGTGCGCCAGGTAAAATATACAAGGTCGTCCTACTTAGCGTAAACAGTAAACAAGGTCGACCTTGGTTGAAAAATCGTGACCATGAAAAATTTCACAAAATTGAAATGTAAAACTAATGGCCTTGGATTCAAGGTCGACCTACTTTAGAATAAATCGTAAACGTTGGATTTTCGCGCTCAATGTCATTTTTAACTTAATTTTTAATCGAAAATTTTTTCCGATGTATCCGTAAAACATAATATCCAAGGAGGTAAAGGGTAAAATAAAATTTAATCAATGGAATATTCCCTTTAACTCACCTTAATAAATTTTTTTTTTTTAACATGTGGCTCGAGTTGATTATAAAAAGTAACGTTATATATATATATATATATATATATAACCGTCTGGAAATGTTTACGTTTTTATATTGTTTATAAGTGATAACATTGGAATTATAATTACCAATTGATTATTATGAAGGAGAAGCTTATAGAAAGTCATTCTTTTGTTTTATTTAAAAGTATAGTTGTTTATTTGAAAACATAAAAATAACAATTAGTTTCCACTTATAAAAGGATGCTGGATGCAAGAGGAGAAATTCTTCCGATCTCCTTGTGTCTCATGAATCTTTGTACATCTTCTTGTTCGTGTTAATGAAAGTGATTTTTACTGGTTACTTACTATTATTCATGAAATGATTGAAAAACCGTATTACTCAACAATAATATAATACATTCTTCGCTGCAAAAAATATACTGATTGTGATTAGTGATTAGAATGAGTTTGACGACAGAAATGAAAGATAGGAAATGATAAAAAAAAAATTTGAAATTAAAATGAATTCATTTATCTACGTTGCAATTCTGTAGATTCTTTATTATTTTAATACTGGCCTTATACAAGCGGATAAACTTTAATATTATAAATTAAATTGAATACTACTTTTTAATTTCAATGTGACCAAATTTTTTATTCGCTCTCATTTTTTAAACATTATTATCTTTTTCTTTTTCAGGGGAAGAAGAAGAAGGAGGAGGAGGAGGAGGAGAAGAAGGTTCAAAATCTGACAATGAATCTGATGAAACAGCATCATAGTTTTCTGTTTCTTCCAATATTTTTAAAGCTTTTTCTCTCTTTAATTTAATTTTGTAACTCTAAAATAAAAAAAAAATTAATTTTTGGGTAGTAATAATAATAATAATAATAATAATAATAATAATATTTATGAGAAACATATTTAATTTCTACTTTACTCACTTTTTTAGCTATTTTACTAAGCATTTGAGTGGTTTCCGGTCCCGTTTGTAAAACCATTCCTCTAAGATAACCTTCGGGTTTGTTTAAAAGAATGTGTGGATGATCGAATTCGACAATGTTTCCAGCATCCACGACAAGAATTCGATCCGAATCCATAACCGTATTTAACCTATGAGCTATAGTCAATACCGTACATTCCTTGAATTTATTTCTTATAGTCCTTTGAATGAGCTTATCGGTTCTAGGAAAAAGGAAATTTTTTTCTTTTTATTAATCTGAGCGAATGTAATAAAACATTATTTAAATGTTGTTATATGTGAGTCTTACTGAGGATCAACATTTGCCGTTGCTTCGTCCATAATAAGAATTTTATTATTTCTAATAATAGCACGTGCAAGACAAAGTAATTGCCGTTGACCGACGCTAA